GTGACAATGCTCAGCCTGATTCTTAGACCTGTGCGCACTTGTATGATGGACATAGGTCTGAGGAGAGGCACGTTCAATACAAATACAAATAATACATTTAGTAAATAAGTCAATAGTTTATACGGCACCTTTCACAGACCTGAGTCACAAAGCACTTTACAATTGTTGTGTCATTTATCTCTCACTCCACTCAGAGATGGGAGTGAAGTCACCGTGCAAGTATCAAAAAATGCCCTCTCTAATTCTCGCTCTCTCCTTTACTAACCGTAACATTTGGATATCAGGTAGATCTGGATGCAAATCTGACCTGAGCATCTGGGGAATATTGCAATATGAGATCGTGGGGATCAACAAATATTTCAGAAGGTACTGTATGCTTGTGTAATCGCGGCATATTTTGAATACAATCGTTCAATTATAAGTCTAAATTATTCTTCAACAACTTTGTGTATTTAATTACTTAGAATCCAACATTTATTACTTTACGATTGTTGAGAATTGATACCCAATCCTACAAAATACTGGAGACAGTCCACAAGAGCAGATGAAAGCGGCTGGATAATATATCAGCGTATAGGTTGGTATATAATGAGGTATTTGTGTGGCTTTTTTCACTTGCTTGGAAAAAGTGAAAAACCGGCAGAAACCTTAGTTGTACTTGCCTATACGTGCCTAAACATGGCATCACATGAATATATTTCAAGAGAGAATTGTACATGGTTTTAACTTCCATCAAATCATAAACACAGTTGCTTTCACATTATTTTAACGCTAAATTTTAATATACATAGTTTAAGCAAGTCAAGAATCCACATCTCTCTAACAAACCATTTCCAAGCCGGAATAATTAACACAAACCCTCTGTAAGGTCTATATCTAAGCCCCATGTCCCTGAGCTGTGGCCATTACGGTTGTTGCTAAGGTTGTTGCTATATGCCACCCGAGGCGTCTTTGTTTCCTGTCTGAACCGTTGTGGACAGCTTATTAAGAGACCCAACCTTCAAAATTCACTCTATGTGCCAGTAACTACAGCTTTATTTCCTTCACACATATTTTCGCTGCTCTCCCAGACTTTTGCTGTCATTAGGGGTCCAGTAATTGGCCTTGTCCCTGTCTTGTTACTTATCCGCTGGGTTGGCTTGTCTGTTTAGTGCCCATAGGCCTGTTGTTTTGGAGGTTGGGAGGTTGCCCTATGCCAAGTCGGAGAGATGGTTGTGGGATATATTTAGCCCTGGGAATGTCACCAAAGCAGGTAAACCAAAGCCATGAACTGCCAACTGCCAACACTGCTGCCACCAAGAAAAATATAATTAGGAAGAAGGAGACATTTAAACATTTTGTAGTAGATATTATTGAATTTTTAAAAATCGCCAAGTTTGCTCTTGTGGTAATGATGGACGAACTGTTGGATTGGTAAAACTTTTCTTACTATGACTTTTTCATATGAAGAATAAAAAGATGCATTTTTATGACTTTTTTAAGTACTCTTTTAACCTTGTTTTAATGATACTTGTCTGGTGCACATGATGACTTTTGCAAATGTTGCCCAATGTAGTTTTACCTGCAAATGGCAATAAAAATGAATCTGAATCTTTAATATGGAAGACTGTTAAAATATTTCATTGTTGCATGGAGTATTAGTTTTAGACTGTAAACCTCGCAGACATAGAGTATGCCATTCTGTTATTTCCATTCCTTACATGAACACCTGAGCATTATTTAACACTTAGACCCGGACAGAAATACAGCAAGACATATGCAAGATGGAATGGAATTGATGTTATGAAATGCTTGTGGTGGAAGCTGAAGTAAAACAGCAATGGGGCCTTCCAGAGCTGAAAGTGTTGGATTAGGAATGTGAGGAGCACTGTTGAGATGCAGCAGGTGAAGCAGTTAGCGATTAGCAGCGGTACTACAGGTGCAGATGTGCTTGCTGGGTCGATCGGCACAGGTGTAAAGTAGTGGGAGGATGGAAGTGATGGAGGTGATGATGACCAGGGAGAGGCTGAACATTCACTATAGCTCCATTAGTCCTGGTTTTAGAGCTTTATTCCACAACACATTTTAGTGGGTGTTAAATGGTAAATGCAGCCTTAGAGGTGATGACAGTATTTTAGGATTTTTCAAAAGGGTACCCATTTTACACAGCCACAAAAGGGTGAATTTCTTGCATAGCCACAAGGATTTTCTAGAGGAGAATAGTTAAACCAATGGGAAGGGTGTAGTTTAACCTCCTTGTAAATCAAGGATGTGCATTAAGACCTTTTATGAGTTAAAAATATGGCCTATTATAGGTAGCTAGTTAGAAATGTTAGTTAGCTAGACATTTTTATAATCGATGCACTTTATGCGTTTATATGGATGTGTTTTTCTGCTGCTGGACACCTACAACTTCTCTATCTCACTCATCGATCTCTCGTGTCTATCCATCTCATCTATATATTGTATCTAAGCTCATGCAATCAGAAAGCAACATTTTAAATTAAACTAAAATGAGCCTTTGCGTTTCTTTGATTACGGATTAAAGTTACAATATTCATGTCAAGTCATCATTAAATGGCTCTAATCTGTCAAAAAGCATTAATAAACCATGGTCTTTTCCAATGCTTCAACTGTTAACAGTAGTTCAGCCAAGATATTTTAATTTCAAAATTAGTTTTACAGCCCCTAAATCTTGTTATTGTTTTCATTTTGATGTCCCGCCTTCCACTTTTTTACCAATAAGAAAGTCGGTGATCCAGGTTGCAAGAACTCACAGCATCAAGCTAATCTCACTGGTAAAGTACCATGTGGCCGCAAAACTAAAAAAGGTCTCATATCACTAATGACAAAACAAGGAATGAATAAAACCAGACCTATTTGGGCCTTTGTGAAAAAGATGTTGGTTATAGATTTTTTTTTAACAAAACTCTTGTCTATATAGGTATTATGGTCCCAGCTGGATTCGTCCGCATATCTGGCAACCTGAGTCAGGGAGAGTGGGAGAGGCTACAGTACCACTTTTGGCCAGATTTTTACATACTGCTCAAAGACTTTTATCCTTTACACGGTGGTGAAATTTCAGTGTGGTACCACAAATTACAGAGCAGGAATGAGAAGTGAGCATTAAGTACAGTACAATCTATGCTTTAAAACAAAGCAATCTCTCCCTTAGCTTCAGCTTTTAAAGAAAGCAAAGTGTAAAATACAGTATACTTTTGTGCAAGAACTACTTATGTATGGATATAGCTGTAGAAAACTCTGTAAAACACTCTTGAGCAAGAATAATACTGTATTAAGTAGTTTTAGTTAGTAGTTAATAGCTTTGAGGCTTCCAATAGTAGTAATAGTAGTAATCTTTATTTATATACCGCCTTTTCACTGCACATTGGAGTCTCAAAGCGGTTTACAATTGTTATTTTTTTATTTGGGAGTGGGACATGCCAGACCTATTGTACATTTTTTTAGTGGTAGGGGAAACCGGAGCACCCGGAGGAAACCTACGCAGACACGGGGAGAACATGCAAACTCCACTCAGAAAGGCCCTGGTCCAACCGGGATTTGAACCCAGGACCTTCTTGCTGAGAGGCGAGAGTGCTATCCACTCAGCCACCGTGCCGCCGCGCATGTTAGCAGCATAAGGCCCTGGGCTTAAAGTGACTAAGACTAAGTAAAGTGACTGTGGACACATACTGTTTGTGGTCCAATGACATTGAGTCGCAGTGATTTAACAAAGATGAAATAGTTGAATAGAACAATATTCCACTTTCACACGACTGCATTTGTGTGAAGTGGACTCCAGCAAATTGTGCCGACTCTGAATCAGTATTAAATAATGTGTGGCCTGAGAGAGAACCATATCTGTTCTGTGTCTTCTCTTTTTTATTACACGACACAAATGGTATTTCAACATCGTTTCTACAGTGTTTGAAGTGCGGCGTAATGGATCTGATGTACTAAGCTGCTCTTAAGTGGGAAAACTGCGGGAAGGAAATGTCTATTTTTAGGTGTTACAGTATAGTTCTACAGATTTGCATCAAAGTGCACTGCTAGCAGAAAAGTGGTGTTTTTATACTAGTTGCTTGAAGAAATAACCCGACCAATCATGTTAAAGGCCGTGCAGGTGGTAAGGAGAGCAATCATGGACAGGATTTTGCCCCAGTGCAGATATGTCTAAAAAGCAGCTCTTGAGGTTAAAATTGTTTTCATCTAATCATTTTGTTTGTTTGCTCCTAATGTGCTAGTTCTCCTAATGGCTCTGAAAGAAGTTGCTTTGCGGTGAAAAGGGAGGAAAAATATTGGATTGCTGCAAATGCAACACAAAATAAAACTAATGCCGGAACAGGACCTTTCTGAGTGGAGTTTGCATGTTCTACCCGTGTCTGTGTAGGTTTCCTCCGGGTGCTCCGGTTTCCCCTACCCCTAAAAACATGTACAATAGGTCTGGCATGTACCTCCTGTACTGGCGACCCCGCTCCCATCTCTGTGTGGAGAGAGACAAATGCCCAAAATAATAATTGTAAAGCGTTTTGTGAATCTTGTCTGAGAAAGGCGCAATATAAACAAAGATTACTTACTTACTCACTTACTTACTATGAAGACAGAGGGTCAGTAATAATCAGGTAAAACCATGTTGAACCTATAGATACATTCAAAGACGTTCAATTCATGACGTGTAAGTACTGTTGTCTGGTCGTAGTGGTGGTAGTAGTAGTTGTTGTTGTCGTAGTTGTTGTAGTAAAACAAATCAAAAAGTTTGGACATACAGTATTTCCTCTAATTGTTATTTTTTGGCACGTGTTGCTATACCAGTCATCTAAAAATTACTATGTCCTAACTTTTTCCCATGGATTGTCGTCTGTGCTGTGATCGTATACAGTAAAAAATCTATTTTTTATCATAATTGTAACCCTGTTTTTCTTCCTCAGTTAAATGCCACTCTCCCCCAGTCCCTCTCGTGTGCATATGTCTCATCTTCCCACACGGCCTGAAAAGTGTCTCTGTGTTTTGTTGGGTTCCAGTTCATTACCCCAGCTCCCTTCACAATGACCCCCGAGTCCTGCCCGAGCCTGTGGCCAGTCTGAGAGCCAGCCACCACAGTCCAGTCTTTTACTTACTGGACAATGGTAAGAAGAGGGGAGAACCTGGACCCCTACGCTGGATCTTCTGCTTGTTGGTTTTATTGATATCCAATAAGAAGGGAGGGAGAGGGAGGTCACACTCATGTACTGCGCATGCCGACCTGCGACCACACTGTGAGCAACAGAAGCAAACTCTAAAGAAAACGACACAAGAGTAGAAGTGGATGTTCCGGAGAACATTTGTGTGTTTTGGCTAAATGTCAATGCTTTTTACATCTAGTTTTCCAGGGACTACAGACGGAAACTTGTATTTTTGCTTAAACATGGCACATGACATACTGACATTCAATTATGTTATATTTTTGTTCAATGGTTTTTAGTCTTATCACATCTTCTTGGATGTTTTCTCAATCAAAAGAGATTTTTACACATTTGAATTGATTTTTTCTCGAAAAACGTTCACATTTTAAAGTGGTTCTGGCCTGCTGCGCTTGACCAATGCTGCATTCTAGAAATCTATTTCAGTTGGCGGTTCCGATACAAACCCATGTGAAATATATGTTCTTTCCAGAATATTATCTGACAGTGATTAGATTCAACATCATACATAATACAGCACAGACCAAAAGTTTGGACACACTTCTTGACCAATAAGGAGAGTGATGGGTGCTGGGCCAGATGACCTGGCCTCCACAGTCACCGGACCTGAACCCAATCCAGATGGTTTTGGGGTGAGCTGGACCACAGAGTGAAGGCGAAAAGCCCAACAAGTGCTAAAGCATCTTTGGGAACTCCTTCAAGACCATTTCAGGTCAGTGCCTCTTGAAGCTTATCAAGAGAATGCCAAGAGTGTGTGAAGCAGTAATCAGAACAAAAGGTGCTGCTTTGAAGAACCGAGAAGGCATATTTTCAGTTTTTTCATACTTTTTTTTGGTACGTACATAATTCCACATGAGTTAATTCATAGTTTTGATGCCTTCAGTGTGAATCTACAATTTTCATTGTCATGAAAATAAAAATCTCTTTGAATGAAAAGGTGTGTCCAAACTTTAGGTCTGTACTGTATATATTGCCCCAAGGATTAGATAAACAAGCTCTGGACTAACATTTTTACAGTTACCTTAATTAACAGGAAATACTTTTCAACGTCCATCACAGTTTTAAACTCGTCACATTAACGCAACCTATTGAATTTTAGACTGAATCATGCTTATTTATTTACTTATTTTTACATATATATTTGATTTAAATTTAGATCTATATTTGAAAACCAGCAAAAGCAAAATGGAATACTTTTTGAGAAAGCTTAAAGGTATATACTGTAGGAGGATTTTTCCCTCTCCACTTTTTCAACAAAACTTTCTGGTCTTATTTGACGAGGTTGACTTGCGGTTGTGCGGCAGGTCCAAAGCTTCAGTAGACACACTCATATAATTCATTATTCAGCATTATTACAGAATCACTTTGCAGTCCAATTCTCTGGTCCACATCCTTTCCACACTGCCCTATATGGGTGTAGCTGACAGCAGGCTCACATCTTGGTTGCTTGCAGTGCACAGAGCTGACAGGGGTGAGCTGTGGTGTCGGTCTGATGTGCTTGTGTGTGTGGGGGGCTGCTGGCATCGCAACGTCTCCATGTTCCGCTGCAGAGGCCAGAGCGGAGCTGGACCTCCAATCATCCATCATTTAGTTTCAGTGTGAATCAGGAGCTCTGGGCGGGGGGAAGAGAGCGTGCCCTTCTCCTCCTTCTGTCTCTGTGTAGTGTGTATCAGTAGGTTTTCATTCTTACCAGTCTTTAAGTCAACACGCTTCGGATATTAAGAGGCTAAATGTGTCTCTGGCTGCGTCTTCCCGTTTGTCAGAAAATACACAGCGTCATCTTGTCGTCTCTTGGCTAACATTCATCAATGTCTCGTCTATTAACCGCATGGAGCCCACTGTGAAGCCAGCTTCTAACTACGACTTCAGCTTGCTTTGTGCTTTCACTCTAGTATTACAGTGTGTATGATGCCTGAAAAAGAACAGTCACAAGTGTTTCTTCCACAGACTGGGGATTACTTGGAAATCTTTGAACTATTATAAATAAGAAACATCTTTCAAGAATGACAAAAATACCTCGGGTCCCAAACACACAGCTTGCAGTGATAAAAGCTCTGCAGCTACAACAATTGTGTAGGAAACACTGAGGGACTAATACACACAATAGGATACTGAGATCAAGCAGACTGCTTTTTGAAACTAGCATGGTTTGTTGTCATAGTATTTTATTGAGTATGATCCCCAAATAAATTGCAAGCTAGAAAACGTGGTTACAAGGACACATACAAGTATCTCTGCTACATGTATTTGCACAAAATATCTCAAATGTTGCCAGGAGCAACCAACTGAAGCAGTTTGATTATATGATTATAAGTATGTAACAGTTCTAGATCACAGCTTCATGGACAGAGAAGTATCATGTCGAGTCATCATGAAGAAGATAGAGCTCATCCTCTTTCATTATATCAGATTCTTCCTTACACACAACACAACTCCCAGATTTAACCTCCTCTCTAAAAGGAGACAATTCATTAAGTTTAACCTTTGCAGTTCTCTGCAAAATGCTTGCAAAATGTTCTGACCTGTTCTTTTGTTGCCCTATGACTTTATTGACACCCACTGGTGTCTTGTTTAGTGCTTCATGTGAAGCAGCCAGGCCTGCAGTCCTAGTTCCCCTGGGTTTATTAACCACAGAGGAGGGCCACTGTCTGCCTCTGGGCTGACAGGCCCAGCCCTGGGCCGAGTGGAGCATGTGTGGAGATGTGCCTGTCATGTGCATGTCCTGTTTCTGTTCAGTGATTTGCTTTGGTTTCCTTCATCCCTTCTTATGTTTGCATATGATTTTTTTTATTATTTCCACATTTTGTTTGGAAAGGATTAACTGGTGCTTTGTTTCCTATGCTTTTGTTTCAGTAAAGGGGCCCGGCAGAAAGTTAAGTCTGCCCACAGATCTTAAGACTGATCTTGGTACGGTAGGCGAAAGCCAGCAGTTTTCTTTCCGCTTATTATTTTATGCTTTTGTCAGGCTTTTATCTTTCTTTCCATTTTTATTTATCCTTCAAACTTCTGTTCAGTTCTGGTCACTCACATGACGCCACTGGCCTGAAACGTGTTTCACTGTTGTGTCTCTTCTTCTACATTTTGCAAGTGTTTCTAAAGGTGATTTTACTCATGGTCATGCTCCTAATCTGAGACTTTCTGCTTTATCATGATTGGACTCCTCAACCTTTCCTTCATAACGGCTGTTTTTCTCTAAAGTGATCGAGTTGTATGCTACTTTCCATCAGAACTGGACCATCTTTGACCTCCCATTCACATCAGACAGAGACCCTCATGCCGCTCTACATAACCACATTACTCTAAACCATAGGTTTCCCTTTGCTTTTCAACTTGATGTTTGTTTCTAACACACTTACTGCATTTTGCTGTGAAATGTTGTGTGTTTGATGTTTGAGAGACTGCATACAGTGAGCTGTGTGTTACATATTAGATAGAAACAGAATTACATTTAAATAGTTACATTTGAATGACACATTCTGTGGGTTTTTTCTTTATATCCTTATTGTTTATGTGTTGAGTCAGTATAATATGAGTAGTCTGAAAGACAAATCTCTATCTTGTCAGCCACTCTGTAAATCCTGTCCCGCTTCGGGGCCACATGCTTTTCTCTGAAGTTAACTTGCGTTTTCACACAAACAAACAATAACACTTGATTTGAGACTGGATCTGGCCAGGCATGTTTACCGTGCTCACAGACAAAGAATGAGCCGTCAGAAGAAGCGGTTAATTACAGCTGCATAAACGGTGGTGCATCCGCTCTGTTTCAAAGAAAAGGATCTGATCTAAACTAATTATTCTGCACTCATGCTGTTCCTCTGCACATCACAGGTTCGTTGCATAAAAAAAGAAACAACTGACCTATAATGATGTATTTTGAAACCAAAAAGTACAAGGGGAATAGTGTTGTGCTTTATTCATAAAGTCCATGGTCAAAAGATCAAGACCCACTGAAGTGCATAGAAAGGGTACATTCTGCCAATGAGGGAGCTACTGTAACACACATACATCCCTATTCCAGCTTTTCTTTTTCCCTGTTTCATATTTAACTTTTGCCGATACACCAAACCTGCCACTCTGTCCCTTCTCTTTTCCACCATCTAACTGTTAACAAAAAAACCTCATTGATTTGCTCCTTTTGCTGCTACTATATCAAGCCTCACAACTAAATTACAAAGGTTGTTCCTTTGACAAACTATAAAAACTGCCTCTGCTGGTCAGACCTTTGGTTGAACTTTAAGAGGTTTGGTATTGCAGCACAGGGATAAGGTTTCATTTCTCCTCTCTTCTCCTGATTGCTAATGCTTTGCCGTTGTTGCAGATCATGTGAATGGACATTGCACTAGCCCCACCTCCCAGCCCTGCTCGACGGGGAAGCCCCGTGTCCCAGTGGCTCCGGAGGGGAGGCTTGCCCGCAGAGGCCCTGGCCGACCGCCCTTCCGAAAGGCCCAGTCCGCTGCTTGCATGGAGATCTCTTTGCCTGTGTCCCACACTGAAGGTGTGTGCTTGTCCCCTCCCTCTAACATTCCCCACCCTTCTAACAAGTGCATGCATCCTCTCCCCGCGGGGTAAGTGGATTAAGACTTGTTACCGACCAAACACAGGCAAGTGCATGCTAATGCATGTTAGCAGCCCTGCTCCTACTTCACACAGAAGATATATGGCTTCAAATCTAAACAAGATTGTGATCATAATTGGTAGATATGGAGCTCTAAAATGTACAATCCCACCAATTAAAAACGATATAAAGAGAGAGAAATATAGCATTGCAACTTGCATTAGCATCCTCTATCAACATAAATGACAAATGGTTTGCCTGACTGAAGAATGCAAGATGTGCTCCTTGCATTGTGTTTCTGCTTGTTTCCAACATGGTTGGTGCGACTTTCTTCTATGAATCTTTATTTGACTTTGATTTTCTTTCAGCAAACACACTGTTTGATGTGTAAAGCACTTCATCGACGTATTAAAAAATACAAATCATAAACTTCTATTTATGTACAAACTACACTTCTTATTTGTTTAAATTTCAAGTTCAACAGGTGCTTTCAGCTCATACTAAATGTCTACTGATTAACTCTGTGACATCCTGACATTTCTCATTGACAGTTTGAGCATTTTTTGCTCCTCCATTTGAGTTTGAACCCTGCCATCAGACATTAGGGAGACCCAGTGTCACGTCTGTGTGTGTGTGTGTGTGTGTGTGTGTGTGTGTGTGTGTGTGTGTGTGTGTTACTGTTCTGTTTAACAATGAAAATGAATGTATTTTCAAGGCACTCTGAATTCTACGTTTAGCATGTCTCGATGTAGATGTTATTGCTTCCCCCGAATGTTCCACAGTATTGCATTCGTCTTTGTAGTTTGTTATTGAAATTTAAGAAAGTCTTTCATTGTCTATGGAGACAATGAAGTGACGTCGCCAGGCCAAGTGCAGGTTGGATGGGCAGGTATGCCTATTTTTCCAAAATATTTACAGCAAGAAATATTTCGTTCTGCTGCAGAAGATCTATTTCTAATCTTTTTTACATATAATTTATTCTTGTCCAAGTTTGCGCTTTTATTGTTTTGATAAAGGGCCTCTGTGATAGATATAACTATAGTACCTCCTACTATCATTGTCATTAGCGGAAAAATAGCATCAATTTAAAGAAGCAATAGAAAGCGCTGTTGTGGATATTGAAGCCTGAAGTAGCAGGAAATTGCCTTTCTATATATCATATGAAGGACACTTAGCCTGTGCCTTTTCCCTGTCATGTTCTTGCATCTCTCTCCTTCACAGCTGCATTTGCATAAAGTGAGGGCTGCTACGCTGAAATACCTCTGAAACTCAACAGATTTTCACTTTGAGGATTTAAAGGCCATGGCCATATCACAGTGTGAGAAAGTGAAGGATGGTAGTGTCGACATTGGACAAAGTGAAAGATTCCTTTAGGTATCGTTAGTGAAATTAGACCTGCATCATCTAAAAGAGGACGTTGTGATCAGAACACTTTGCTTATCCCTAGTCTGTTTATAAAGGTGATTAGTGCATTTTTTCAAAGGACGGTTTTTTCTGCTGTGCCTTATTACTGATCCGCTTGTTTCTGTCCATGAATCCTCTCTAGACCAATGCAAGACCATGATCAATGTACTGCAGCAACATCATAAAAAAAACTAAAAAGATTGTTAATCACAAAACAACAACTATTTCAGAGATACTTAGACTTGCTGTCATTTCTAGCGCATTCAAAAGTAAGAAAAAACAAAAGAGAGCAGCGGCATCATTGAAAGCCAGTCTCTGGAGTGTTCCCCTCCACAATCGTGTCCGTGTTTGCAGGTCGCTACGTTGTGGTCTGATTCGTGACTGCTCTCTGTAGCATCGAGCTGTGGTCAGGTCACACTCTAATCCTCTCTTCAGGAGTCCGGCTCCGACTGGCCCCAAAATGTCACCGTCAACACCAAACAAACACTCCAGCACAACCAGGAAAAGACATTGGTTTATAATGGCCTGGACTTTGGCCTGCTTTTAATCACCTGTAAAGTCAAGGTTTTCTCTCAAAATGTTTAGATTGCAGGATTTTAAATTATATTAACTGCTTCTCCTTTGTGTCACTGCATCGTAAGTATTTTACAAACACATTTTACCCTAAAACTTTCAGTATAACGCACTCTCAAATGCCACTCAGATTAAAGGCACACATGTCCGCCAACTCTCAGTAAAAAGTAGATTCGGCAGCATATTTACACATACAGTCTGTGTTATTCAGCGATGGTGCTTGTCACAAAAAGGGTTACGGCTCAATTACTTGATTTTCAAACCGTGAAAGAATAAAGTACTTAGTAAAATCCTCCAAACTCATTCCCATTCATCACACTGTCAAAAAGGAATAGGGACTTACCTGCATTCATGATTACAGCTTTGGAACGGTGTCTGAATGCCAGTGTGTAGCTGTCTAACATGTGTCTCAAAATTTGTATTTATAATATACGTTCTGGAGGGAAAACATTGAATATCCCAGATTTAATACTTAATATGATCTGGTATCTGTAGCTATACTGTTTTATTAATGTCCATTGACTGCCTTTCCCTAAAGGTGTTTTTGTCCTTGTTATGTTCTACACACGCACACACACACACACACACACACACACACAGACACACACAGGCACTCACACTGCAGATCATAATACTAATATTGATATTATACCTTGGTAAATAAGTGATGTATTTTTAGACGAGACAGAGTTTATTAATGCTTACCAACAAAGCAGCAATCGGTTTTCTATGTAATCTTTACAAACAGAAAGGGGTGCAGATGTGTATTGACCCTTTCGCTGGTTACTCTGCAATTATGGATCCACATGCGGAACCAGCTTCATCAGACTCGTTACACAGCAGTGACCCAGAGCAGAGGGGGGAAAGCATTTGCATAAACATAGAACTCATTAACAACAAAACTGATTGGAATAAGTACCGACACACACTTTGGTATGCGCCGAATTCTTCTTTAGACCTTGTGCCTTTATCGCCATATCGTACTAATGTGTAACTTTTTTTTAAATAAGGCAAAAATTAAAGCAGTTTCTTGTGTAAGTACCTCTCCTAAACCTGAATGGTATTTGGCCTGGTAGATTCTCGCCTTGCTTGTTTCCATGGACATGCGCAAACATTGACCATTGACCACTGATCGATCATGAAGTGCTTTAACGCAATCAAATCTGGATAATGGTGGGTTAATGCAAGATAATTTGGTGATTATAATCAAATTGCAAAACATTTATATCTGAGGCAGTCACTCCTGTAGGCTACCATCTTAGCAAAAAAACTCTTTTTCCAATTTATGTCATTTTCTGTGTCTTTCTGCAGTTTCCTCTCAAACAAAGTCCTTTGTAAACAAGTTTTGCTTGTTATGTAGGTTATTTTGCGTTATTCTTGTCGTTTCCATCTCCGGTCCACAAAAGCCTTTCTGAGTGCTGAGTCATCAGCAGGAAAATCCAATTTTTTTGACCCCTTTCATAGTTACTCAATTTTGTCCCAGTTCGTGACCACTCTGTGATGCAGTAGACAGCTTTGGCTTTTAATACTATCCAAGTAAGTAATAGGGATAGCAGCAGTTGCCTATAATAGAAGTAGTTTATTCGCTATTGGAGAAGACCAAGAATAGATGTAGTATTACTCATGTCTTATTGCTAAAAGTTTGTGGGTTTGATTCCTAGGTCAGAATGGTCCCTTCTGTTTGGGCTCCAGTTTCCTGCTTTCAAGGCAGAGCTGGTCGACTGATTTCCTTTTCCTTTTCAAACAGGGAGTATATTGTGAAAGTTTCCCTACAGGCACAACAAAATATTCGAAAATATTGCCACAGGGTTTCTTGACTGTATTGTTACTCAGTCTTAAACTATAGAAAATATAAAAACATTCTACAAATGTGAAATAAGTGTGAAATGATAAGTGTCTGTAATTCTTGTAATAGTAGCACAATATAACAGTGCACTCTGATTGACTCCAGGAATGTAGAATAATATTTGAGCAGTCAGCAGTTTGACCTTTTAAATTACCCACAATTCTCTCTGTCATGTGCAGACAGCGATGGATGTACCTGTCTCTGACCCTAAAGACAGCAGCTCGTCTCAGCCGGTGTCTGTAGCTTGTCGCTGGACAGAGGCATATGTGCTGGTGGAAGCTGAGAGGGATCTTTTGACACCTCTACAGCTGCTCATACACTGGTGCCGAGAGGCTGGCTGTCCGCAGAGTCAGGGAAATCTTTTGAGATTTAGAGAGTTCTGTTTGAAAATCCCTCCAATGTCCAGTGTTGTCACTGTCCATTAGCTATTAAAGTGAAGAGATGGAACGTGAGGCATTTGGCCCCAGGCTGAGAGTGTGTCTAAACCTTTACAGTATGTGACCAGAGCAAGGGCTCGTGCTGATGTGCAGTTCAATTTATATAATATATATTATATGTTATTTTTGGATGCATGGCAAAAGCAGCACACAGCCAACAGTATTTGTTCTAATTATTATCAACTATAAATATTAGAATCATGACAATAAAGGATTTTGTACTATATTATATGCAATATGATATGTTCATCATGGGATAAATGTAATCAATAATAAACATGAAAAAAGATTTTTGTCCATTTACAAATCACTTCTGAAGGATCGGTTGGTTTTATTCCTAAAATTAACTGTGTTTGTTAACATCTGGCCATTTTTAAAGGACACAACAGAGGAGAACTCTGTGTCCTTCTCTGAATAGATTTTTACAGTACATAGATAAATACATTTCTGATTATGTATTTTATCTTATATAATAAATAGAAACAAGAAATTACATGTTTGGGATACAAAACTATGTTGTTAAAGCATCAGATTCAATGGAATAGTCAGATAATTACATTAATTCAGTATGGATACATTGATGCTATATAAAAGTGTTTAGCTTGAATTGACGTTGTTCTATTTTAGAATTGAGAAGGAATGTTATTATTTAAGTCATTATCATCAATCATGAACTTACTAAACTTTCTGGATAGCTTGGGTCTGGATTTCTTTCCTTAAATGCCATTTTGCTATAAAGCTTAGTTAACATTGACCGAACTGTCCCTAAATGTGATCTTAAGCCTAGCGTACATCGACAGAGTAACTGGAGACAACTAGTTGCAAGGCGGCTTTTGGCAACTGAGAGTAGAGGATGGAGATGATCAGTTGCCGAAATCGGTCGATGTGAGCGCTCTTACAACTGGAGATAAACAGTCGGTCTCCAGTTTCAGTCAGTTGCCCGTGTTCTACTTATCGGCAACTAGTTGTCCTCAGTTTCGGAGATATGACCCGATTTGCGCGCTCCATGTGCCGCTCCGACAACGTGTGTGTATTGCGTGTATTGCGAGCCCGCAACAGTTTATGTCAGAAAACACACTGTAGTTGAGGCCAGTGGCTGTCGATGTACGCGCTGTTATTCTCGAGACTGGTCTGCTACTGGGAGTTGCCCGTTTTCGTCAGATTGTCGATGTGTGTGGGGCAGTAACTCATATGCGACGGATATAATCAGTTGCCAGTCTGATGTACGCTAGGCTTAAGGCTGCAGATGCCAACCCCTCATCTGTAAATAGACTCTGCTACATTAGTAATGATGTTGTCTTTGTTTATGCTGTGCCATGCAGTCCTAACCCACCGATGTCAGACACCAGTGTGGGTAAGCTCTCTGATCCCTCATGCCCTCCTGTAAGAGATCAATACTAAAAGTTTAATTACATTGACTGCGTGTCCCTGTTTGTGTGAATCCAGTCCCATATAGCCCAGTAGTTTATCAGGTCTACGGAGTTAGCACAGTGAGCAGCCAGCAGGATCACGGGAATAATTAAAGGTCAACAGCCAATGTGCAGCTTGGCCAATGTTAATGAGGCTCTCTCCAGGCAGAGACGGGGGAGGGACGAGGCAGGGGAGTCACCTGTCACTCAAGCTGTGTACGAGAAATATTGACATGTCCCACAGTGTCTCAGGAGGCAGGTCTGTCCCTGAAAAGTCAACACAAATAAGATAAATAATAATGTACTAATTGTCACATCCAAATCATTTAAATTGATGATATTCGTTCAGGCTTTTTAGAAACGAGCGCGGTTTGTCGGCATAGTAAGATAGCTACAAGAGAGCTGCATTTATTTTTTCTTTGTAATAAAGTCAAGGTAAACAACACAAGAAGTTATCTCTTTAACTCAATTTCCTTTTTGTAATAGTTTAAACAAATGAATAAATAAAAAAGGGTAAAAGGACGTTATGAGCTATTCCCATAACATCTGTCCGAGGTGAAAGTAATTGTTTCTCTATTCTTTTTCTTTTTTTTAATGATACAGGCAAGTTAAAAGCATAATTGTGAAAAGAGAACCAAATACCATCAGGAATTTTTCAAAAGCTATCTTAACTATGGACTGTATTATTTATTGACTATTTACATTCTTAGAGATATGTTTTTTTTGGCTACTGCTCAGTTTGCAAATATGTACATTAAAAAGCAGGTATCCTTGTTGTCAGTGGGGTGTCCTCTTCACAAATCAGGTCTGTATTTTGGTCTTTACTTGGTCAAACTTTTCCAGAAAGGGCCTGTATGTCTGCAGGCTTTCATTTATTTTGCTTCCGCTAACCTTCTTGGTGGCAAGGCTCCAGGAGTGGATGAGATCCGTCCTGACTATCTATAGTCTCTGGATGTTTAGGACTGTCTTGGCTGACACGTCTCTGCAACATTGCGTGGCTATCGGGGGCAGTGCCAATAAAGTGGCAGACCGGGGTGGTGGTCCCTCTCTACAAAAAGGGGCACCGGAGGGTGTGGGGTCACACTCCTCAGCCTCCCCGGTGAGCTTTACTCCAAGGTACTGGGGAGGAGACTTTGAGTGGTGGAAGTACAGTAAGTCAGACCTGTTCCTGTGATTATTGGCCTCCGTCAAGGCTGCCCTTTGTCACCGGTTCTGTTCACTGTCTTTATGGACAGAATTTCTAGGCGCAGCCTGGGGCCGGAAGGGGTCCGGTTCAGAGACCTCAGGATTTAATTTCTGCTGTTTGCCAACGATGTTGGCTCCAACAAACCAGGACCTGCAACATGCACTGGAACTGGTTTGCAGCCGAGTGTGAAGCAGTTGTCCTGGTTGGTTGGAATCAAAACCTGGAGCCACACTGGCCCTTTGAGGACTGGTGTGAAACCGCTGGTCTACAGAGATATCACTGGCTTGTCATAATGTGGAACATTCAGCGCTTAATCTTATAATGGCAATTTAAAGGTTGCAATAGTACTTGTTGTGAGTCTGTCCTTGTCCTGTGTGACTGTAGCACTATGTCTCTCACTGTTTTGAGGTTGCCATTTCATACAAAGCATCAAGAATTAAAAGCATCAAGAATTTTGTCACACTGCATGTTCACCACACTGACATGTGCCTGATTACTATTGTCAAAAATGCAGTTTTAGAGCTGTCCAAACCAGTTCTTTTTCACATCTTTCTCCGCTGTCTGTTGTAACAATATTCTAGCAAGACAATAAAAGCAAAAATATTTAGATGCTGTTTTGTACAACTTATCTGCCCTAGATGCATACATGGACGCCAAAATAAAATAGTCATTTGTCTTTCTAATATAAGGGTCTATTAAACAGCCAGATCCTAAAACCAACAATTTTGCTGAAGAGATGTACTTGACATGTGTGTGAAAGATTGTGTGCTTAGTGCATTGCTAACAATTTGGACTTGCAGCATTCGTAGGTGTGATGATTTTTTTGGAGCAAAGCCGTTGACTCTCTTTCTTCCCTCTCTGCTGTTCATTTGTGCGTCTCGTTCGTTTGGGGGCCGGCCTCTGTCTGTCTGGGTGACGGGTTTGTGTGTGTTTTGATTGGCGTTTCCATGTTTTTTGCGACACACATACTCGTACTGTAGGTTACGCGTCCAGAAGGGCAATGCTTCAGCAGTTACACGGAGTCACTATGTACTCCCATGACGAGCACCACACCAGCACCACCTCCACACCGTACTGCTGGAGTGAGCGAGGTAAGGATGGGACTGTGGACTCACCGGTCTCCACGTGTTGCATGGTGCTTGTTCCAAGATCATTCAGACAAAACATATCCGTGCCTAGAGCATAGATTGTATGGGAATGGAGAATGTTCACCCGCTAGATCAGGCATAGCAAACTCAGGCCCGTGGGCAAGACCCTTTTTAGTGGCCACAGATATGATTTTCAATTATTATTATTCCAGTATCTTGCGGCATTGATGGTAATGGGATACAATGGCATGTTATACTTAATTTTAAAGATGTGTTTCTGAGTAAAACAACCATATAATTGAAACTGTTCTAAAATAAAAAACCATTACTAATTAGAAGTAAAGTTAGGCCAAAGATTAATTTTTACAGTGAACTATCAGCCTTCAATTACATCTCCAACCAGAAAATATAATCCAAACTCATGTCAAATAAAATATGTTAAAAGAAAATACTTTATACTTTTGGCCCCAACCAGCTCTTACGTTTTGAAATTTGGCCCACGACAAAAATGTTGAGAGTGAACGCCTCAAACTCACCATTGTGGCGTTTAAAATCGGTGGTTTAACTCTCTACGTTATCCTGGTCATCTTTATACTGTCTTTGTAAATCCAAATATGACTCCTAACAACTGACCAATCAGCTGCTTTCTGTATTATGGTTTAGGATGGTTAATGTGTATTTCCTTGTGTGTGATTGTCTTGTTAGCCCCTCTGTATGTATACCTTGTGTTCCGATGAATTACTTGTTCTGTCATTGTCAATGCCACGTCTATTTTATTTAGTTTTTGTTTTCACTCCCTGTTTGGTTCCCCTTTTTGGATTTTTACTTATGATTTTGTCTTCATATTTGCTGTTATTAAACTAAATTGTTTTTTGTTCTGCATGTTGGGTTTTTTACTTTTGACAACATTCTGTTCCCAAATTTGGTTTTAGCTAGCGGGTAGCGCAAGAGGAAACAGACCAGCAGAGCTCTTGATTGGTTGCTAGGTTTGCTACCCACAAATTTGCCTCCAACCTCACACCCATGAAGCCAAATGTTTGTTTGAGTTTGCTCTAACTGACTTTTTTCCCGCAATAAGGCTATCACTATTGTTGAAATCCTCCCTCAGTTATTGTGTTTTAAAAAATTTTCCCTGCAAAATAATGAGCTACTGGTCTTGTAAATTCTCACTATATTGCAGCAAGAAGCATGATATGTCTTCTTTAAGATTAAGATTAAGATTAAATTGCAATCTTGTTCAATGTGTGAAAGGAATCCTGGCACACACATTTTAAAATAAACTAACCATTTTAAAACAAAAAAAGAAATTATTCATTAGCTTATTGTCATATGGTCTTGGAACAACAACTCCATTTCAGCTGTTTAAATATGAGCAACACAGGGAAATCCTATGGTTCAGGTTCCTGTCGTAGATGTTAGGTTTGTCTGTCTTAAAAACCCTTTGGTCTGTAGTTGTAGAAATACTTTTTGTGTTGGTAGAAAACATTTCCCCATAGCCACTGCATAGTTATAACAGCAACACCCCATGCCTTCTTCATAAACTTGACTGAAAACGTATTGAAAAATCTGTAGCATGTTTTGCATCCGTCTGCACTTGTTACATAAACACCCACGTTCTGCGCTCACTGTGAATAACTGAATAATGTGGTACAGAAAAAATACTTGGATGACGAAAGACCTGAAGTTTACAGTGGAGAAGCAAATGGGAGGCATTGGTTTGCTCTTAGCGTGTGTGTGAGAATCTGAAAAGGAAAGTGTCTTGTTTTAAGGTTGGCACAGTTGTGGATGAACGAGATTTTTTATTATTTACACATTCATCTTGTCACCTAGAGCTCCAAAGAAGTTCCATCGAGAATCAAAAGCCCATTTCTTTCAGTCACCTGCATTATAATTTTGCCAATTTTTCTAGTGGTTTTGGCTATCCATACCCTATCGTCAAAATAATTATCAAATACGTTGAATGAAAACACTGAAATAAATGGACTTTTCCACCATGTATTCCAGTAAATGCTTCACTCATTTCGCCTTTTGTTAAATGCATTTTAATTTCACCGCTTCACCAAACTAGTTTTCTTTCTAGACATTTCACAGATTAAAGTTTACACTCCCAGACAGATATTTCATTATTTTGGGCCATATTTTGGAGATGATATTAATGACTCCATATGTTTTGTTTTGTTTTTTTCTATTTCCAAATTACAATCCAAATCTCAAATGTTCAGTTCATTCAAGGCGGCCCAGGAATGTACAGGAACTGGGGGCTTTTTTCCAAGAGGAATGGTCAAGTTTACCATCAGAGAGAAAGACTCCATTACCGTGTGTATTTTAGTGGGGATGAAAACTTCTAATCAGGGTCACAAGAGTCATTTCCTTTCTGTTATTATAATTTGAAAAAAAACATTTTTATTGTTTGGATACATTTCATTCTATTTATCAAGAAACAAGATGCTGTTGTCATAAGAATACCCTGAGTCTGCCATAATTTGTCTGTTTTTCATGATAGTTTTATGTATATGTTTATTTGGCTGAGTGGGGGACTTGTTATTTATATATATATATACAGTACATTACATTCATAATCACCAAAATATGGCCAAAATGTTTGCCTGAGTATGTAAACTTTGAAGCACAACTGTAACATTTCCATTTCTTCCAATCCGTTCCCGCTCTCTGCTCTGCTCCCGTCTGATGTTTGTGTCTGTGCCCGTCGTGCTTTCGTCTCTGTCCACGAACGCAGAGAGCCGCGAGAACTCCTTCAGCCGCTCGCGTAGCTCCAGTGTGTCCAGCATCGACCGCGACACCAAAGAGGCCATCACCTCGCTGCAGTTCGGAGAGTCCTACGCCCGGAAGAACGACCTGCTGCCCACGCCATGCCTCTGGGTGGGCACCAGTTTAGGGGTGGTCCTGCTCATCCCCATGTCCATCCCCACGGACCAGGAGGAGCGCATGGAGGAGTCGGTCAGCATTGGGCCAAGCGGTGAGTCTTTTACTCTTGGGTTTATGGGCTTTTTATCTATTTATTTTTCTATATATTATTAGTTGAATCCACATGGTATACACTTAAATATGTAGGTTTGTGAATGGACTCCCAAGAAGAAGAACTTAGCTTATGTGTAGGGGCCCCAATAACAGTCACAAGTCAAGAACAGGACAGAAAAACCCTCCTCCCACCTCCCACCCTCACCCCAAAGCAAGGCTAGACAAGGTAAGGCAAGGCTAGTTTGTTTGTATAGCACACTTCATACACAATAGGTATGAATGTAAATGAGGGAGTGAATGAATGGTGTTGACCGGGAGCTTTGATGGTCCAGTGTGTTCGGCGACCCGCTTCCGTCATCACCGTGTGTGGAATGATTGTACCAATATCTGAACTCTGAACATTGTAAAGCGCTTTGAGTGACCTTGGTCTGTAAAATGCACTATATAAATAAACATTACTTACTTACTTACTTACTTACAGGGCAATTCAAAGTCCTCGACAATGTTCAAATCCATTTTTTTACCGAAAAGAAGCCGGCATACAAAATCATTGGGTAAATCTGTTTCCGGGTACACCCCCAACGGCAAGGAGTGAGATTACAGCATGTCAGCGCACACGAGCACATGGACCTTTTGGAGCCAGGACACCCCTCCCCCGCCCCTGGATAGAACTAATAGTTTATGTTGAGATGTTGTTGATACAATTCAGTTCTTTGTGTGAATTTCTGCCACTGTTTGCGGCTCATCTTCAAGAACACATTTCAAGCAGCCAACAATGCCCGTTCAAAGCATTTCAAGAGCAAACAGGATTACTCATTCCTTTGAAAATAGCAGGTAAATATCAACGAACAGCTATAAGTCATAAAAACATATCAGAGGTTCTTAACTTATGAGCGTTCATATTGAAGCTTGCATAGACTTTTTCCAAACAGCTTGATTTTTGGCTTTGTAATCCATGTCCTCAGAACATATTCAACATTGCAATTCCTTTTAACCCTTTCAGTTGTTGTCTAATTTTCCTAAATGCGACGTGGTGAAGAGATGCCTCCCCGTTTAGAAAGCTTAATCACCAATTTCCAGCTATTACTCTAAAAGCATTGGATTGCGTTGCGTTTTCCATTGGGTTGAAGTGGAGCCGAGATGAAAGCAATATTTTATCAGCTCTTCGTGGGTTTGAAAGCAGATCAACTCGGTATCAGTACAAGTGGACCCTTCAAAGAGTTATGAAAACAGACAGGGAGAATATTAAGGCTTATTATAGTCTGCATAAAGGTGAACAATGGGGCCTCCTTCTTTGATCCACAAATCAAATGGATTTCTCTGTGCAATAACAAAAACAGTAGGGTTAGGGTTAGGGTTTTTTTTTCGGTTTGTCTCCAAGTAACCAGAAAGTTATCTGTTACATCTTCAGGCAAATATCCAGATGAACACTGAAGATTGCAGCACATTTAAGTTAAATAGGGAAAGTTTATTATGTTATTTGTATATTTGTATTTCACAAATCACGCACTAGGCAACACAAAAAGCTTTTCTAAACAAGAGTGAAATCATAAAAGTACCTTTAAAAAAGTAATGAAAATGACAATTCAAATGTGTTGTCCTGATACTAAGAATTGTGCTGATTTTGTTCAACAGAAAATTTCAAACAACTTTAGTTAGTTTTAGTTCAGTTAACAAAAATGCTAAACACATGATTTATGGAATGACAAAAGTCGTCATTGTGTCAAGCTCATTTCACTCGACGAGGTTCTCTGTTTTGAAATAGATTAGAGGGATTTCCTAAGCTCTTTTACCTTATTTTGAAAAACGGTGTAAAAAATAGAGAAAATGAGCAAAGTGATTCATATTTAATTTATGTCAAAAGAAAATGTGCTACTGGATTAAGGAGTTATTATGTGAGGCATCCATGGGAAAAAGACTGAAACAAGAAAAAAATAACTTTTTTAATGAAAATCTTAATCATTTCTTGCCTCTAGAGTAGTTTTACTTTAGTATTGATTGGATAACATCATTCCTACTGTTTCAGGCGAGGTGCTAATGATGAAAGTGTCAGTGTTGCATGAAACACTATCCAGCATCACAACAGCGGCCATCTCAAAGAACTCAAAAAACACTATTAGCAAATTAAAATCCATTTTTCGCAGGATATTCTCACACTAGAGTAGATACTGATGCAGCAGTGTGGCAAAACGGTCCTCAAAGAGCCGGTGTAGCTGCAGGTTTTAGTTCCAACCAAGCAGGAGCACACCAGACTCCACACTTGCCACAGCTAATGACCGACACAGAGAGGGCAGAATACAATTAGTGAAAGTTCTAGCCATCTTGAAGGTATTTAGTGAGATGCCTGTATCAATAAAAACATGAATTTGTATAAAAATAATTGGCACTACCACACTGTTAATCTTGCGTCCCTTTTGCCGTACGAGCACAGCGGTTTGCCAGGTCTGTATGTAGACCGTCAGCAGGTCTTCTGTGATTTCACAGAAGAGGGGAGAGCAATAAAAGCGACAGGAGAGGACCGGAATAACACTCGCAGAAGACAGATGGGAGGATTGAAATCAAATCTAAGTAAAGCTAAACTGTGATGTTTTTTTACACGCAATTGTTGTGATTAAGAGATCCTTTATTTGTCCTACAGAGAGAAAATTCAGTGTTGCATCACCAGTTACAGAACAGTAGGAATGAGGAGCACACTGCACAAGATAAATAAACTATAACTCTATACTAAAATAGAAAATAAAAAAATAGAATGATAAAGAAGCCAGTTTTAATCAATCGATCCCCTCATTATTTTGAGAGCACATTTAAAACAGCCGAGGCTTACCAAAGTGCTGTACAGACGGACTGGTCTCTTTCTACTTGGTGTTAAAACCAATGAGAAAAACTGTGTCTTAAGCAAAGATTTAAAGTGATCGAGTAGACAATAAAATCTCTAACTTTAGTGTAATAAAGAAGCAAGAATAAGGTGTAAAATGTCTGACTTTAGCATGATAAAGCAGCAAATGGGCAGCACGGTGGCTCAGTGGATAGCACTCTCGTCTCTCAGCAAGAAGGTCCTTCGAATCCCGGCCGGAACAGGGCCTTTCTGAGTGGAGTTAGCATGTTCTCCCCGTGTCTGCTCCGGTTACCACCCAAAATATGTTCAACAGGTTAAATCCTCCAGTTCTGGAAGTCCTGACCAAGCCGAGCATCAACATCTGGTGATGGGTTCCCGGGAGCTGTTACTATGGCGACCACTGTTCTTGACAAAGCCTCAGTGGCATCAGGTTGGGTCAATTGCAGAGGACAAATTTCCCTACAGGGACAATAAACTGCATATTTACATTTGCATTTGCAAATATAGAATACTGTATATTCTAGTGCAAAAATATAAAGTACCGGTAGTATGTATACATCCTTACATGTGAGCAGCATGAGGGTGTGGGGTAGTTTAGTGACAGTGGACACATTATTGCACAAATAAGTACATTTTTGCTGTAGTATTTAACAGTGGTTGAGAATCCTGTCTTTGTGCTGACTTTCGTTTACAGGAGCAGTACTAATGCTAAAGGGCTCAATTTTGCGTTTTGGCTTCTTGGATTGCGGGGGGACGCTCCTCCAAAGCCCCTACGAAGTGTGGAGGGACGTGAACGCGCCGGAGGACCCCGACCGGCCGCGGAGACGTAAGCTGGTCCACTTCTCGCCCTCCTCTTCTCAGGACGCCTGCGGGGATGGCCACCTGGCTGTGGTCTGCTCCGAGAGGCAGGCCAAAGTGTTCCTGATGCCCTCCCAGTCCTGCCTCTTCGTCCACAACATCACGGAGTCGTCGTTCGTGCTCAGAGCCGACGTGGTGTCTGTGTGTAACAGTGTGTGCCTCGCCTGTTTCTGCGCCAACGGGCACGTCATGACGCTCAGGTAAAGGCTCAGACCCGGACTAGTCATGCTTTTGCTTTGTTTTGTTTGAGGTTTCCCGGAACTGTAAGGTGCAATATAAATAAAATGTATTATTATTACTATTATTACTATTGGGCCGAGTCTAAATTCAAAAGAAACACGTCCTGCATACCCTTCTTCTTTCTTTAGAACTGCCTTTTATGAGAATGAGCACTTGCAAGTTCAGTCAAGTGAAATTTAAGACCTTTTCAGGACATGTATAATCCCACAGGAAACATAAAGCCACCAATAAAGAGGACAATGAACGACCAGGAAGGAGGTTCTTTTATATTAATTCAGACACAGCCAAGCTTTTTGTCTTTTTATTGTTTTTGTGACTGCGTAACAGGGATGGACAGAGCTAAACTACTAGCTACTTTGCTGAACGTGAATACCAATTAAGTTACTCTGTATCCGTTCATGTCAGACTCTCCATCCTGATGAGTCTAGTGTTTTTGTGCAATTTGTGAAAGACAGGTGTATACCATGACGCTTATTGACCAGCCTCACTTCCTGATTTGCTCCTCCGTCGCTATGGGGTTGCTATGAGAATATTTGGCTCCAAATTTCTGCCGACTGAACTTGACGGAGCAGCTCTAATCGGCTTATTCTGGTCAAAGGCAAATACTGTGGGTGACTTCACATTCAGTCCACTCTACTATTCTACAGTCTATGAGTTCAGATACAGGACAGGCATAAACAGACATGAAACGCCCAATAACAAACACATTAGCATAATTGCTTTTCGCATTTGATAAAAAACAGTGATGGACACAGGTCAATGACATGAGACTAATTGAAACTCCTGCACATGGCTCCTTAAACAGATATTTCCTTATGTGTTTCCGACATTTGAAACCTGGGGTACCTACAAGTCATTAACCACTAAAGAATTCAAAATCTGTCTCACTAGTTTTTCACTCTCTAAATAGATTGGTTGGATCACTAGTTTCCACATGCATGTATGTTGGCCTCTGTCACATCTTTGAATCAAATCATAGGGCTTTTTTCCAAGTATTTAACAGATACATTTTTCTCAATATGATAAAAACTGCATGTTGTGGTCTGATGCGTTCACTATTGCAAGACTCTTTCTGTTGGGACAAAGTGAAATATATTATTCATGAATCAACAGATGTAGTAAACCAGCCTCACAATCTTGTTCAAGGGTGTTAAATCAGAAACACTCTGGCTGTAATCAAGCCTTAGTTTGCTTTCTCAACACGCCATGCAGCAAAATGTGTTTTTTGCTCACAGACATCTCCCTCTCCTCTCTGCGCCCACAGTTTGCCCAGCCTCAGACCACTGATGGATGTCAATTACTTACCTCTGACAGACATGCGTATCGCCAGAACGTTTTGCTTCACTAACGGGGGCCAGGCGCTGTATCTGAGCTCCCCGACAGAGATCCAGAGAATCACGTACAGCCAGGAGATGTGCGACAACCTCCAGGTACCAAGAGATAAACATACACTATACACACGCACATGGCCTGCGTAATGGCAACACAATTACCATGTTATAGACAGCTCCTGAATTTGCTGCTGACCTTTCCTACTGAATTTCATTGAGAGTGTGTATGCGTGAGAATATATATGCAGACATAATTATACAGAGAATAACGCTATACTTTTCTTCCATTTATTTCTTATGCATATTTTGTTACCCATTTATTAATGCTTGTTTGTATCTTTGAAAGTTTGCTGCTTAAAGACTTCAATTGTAGTTCATTTGGAAAAGAATAAACTATTTTGACGCCTGTAGTATCATCTAAATTAAACATTTTTCATAATCCATGTATTTTAAACAGTCCCCTTGGAATAAGCCTCACCTTTTAGATTTGTTGGCGGAGAATAGTTTGACCAATGATGACGGACCTCAGCTTGAATTCATAACATCCAATCAGGAAGCTGTCTCTGTATCTTCACAATTAAAATAACTGACCTTCACTTTGAATTAAAAGACTAAAACGCAGCTGGACCAAGACATAATGAGGAATATTTTACTGTGTTTATTTCCTATGTGAAGTGTCTTTGAGTGTCCAAAAAAAGCGCTGTACAAGTTTGATGTATTAATCTTATTATTATTATTCTTTCATTGAAGAACATAAATGCATAGTGTTGCTTTATGATAGCAGCAGTCCAGATGTATTGATTAGAATATAGGATCTTAAGATTGTGGAAAGGCAGTGTCAACATGCTGCTATAGCGCCATCTATAGGGCATTTTGCACAATATACTCTTTAAATTTAAACAAAAATAAGTAAATTTGTCCTTACATAAAAACATAAAAGCATACCATCAAAACATTATGTAAACAGAATATGCTGTAACTATATCAACCCAACAGAGAAACCCAGTACAAGTGAAAGTGTTTCCAATGGGAACATACATAATGCTTGATGATACAGTGCCACCTACAGGCTGAACCTTGTCAAGGCGAGTTCAGATAATGCATGTTTGTTCAAAGTAGCTGAAGCGGAGGAAACAAAGTGTTGAGTGTGTAATGATTTTGCAAATCTCTGATGCTGATGTTTTCCTACAGGAGATGCTCGGGGAGCTGTTTACGCCGATAGAGACGCCGGAGGCACAGAACCGAGGATTTCTAAAGGGCTTTTTTGGAGGAAACACAAACACGTTTGACAGAGAAGAGCTATGTGCGTCCATGAGTTTATTTACATTGATTATACTGTCAATTCATATTTCAGATGACCTCATTTTATGCATAGATTATATACTGTATGTATAGGAATGGACAAAGTTTTGCTCCTATTCACTTTTTTCACTTTTTAGGCTTAAACATATATATATATATTTAAGCCTGTATGGTTTGTATGATGCTGATGTTTTTTTAAGAAATGTCCCTTCTATCCCTGAATTTGGTATCTGCTAACAAACAGCTGAGTTCCACTCCTGATGGGCTCAAGATAAATAAGAGATCCTTTATTCGTCTCACTGGGGAAATGTCAATGTTGCAGCGCACACACAGGACAGTAGTAAGAGCACACAGGGAGCACACAAACCATACAATATTAGTAGCTGCTATGTTTCTTAGCTAGCTTTAAATGCTTAAATATCAATCTTTCAATATATTTCCATCTATCTAAATATAGAGAGCAAAGTTATATAGATATAGGTCAGGGTAAGTAGATAAAGTGACATTCAGTGGACATTCTGAAGTTGCAGAATTGCACATTGCACACGATTACAGTATTGACTATTTGCAGATGAATTACATGTAAAGGCTCAGCAGTTCTCATTGTACAGTCTGACAGCAGCAGGAGGGAGAGACCTATGGAATCTCTCTTGCTATGTAGGCTCTTTGGTTGCTGTGTAGTTGTTATCTGAAAGGGTCGCTCTACATTTACCGTTGTTCCATTCAGAAATGTAGTAGTTCTTTGGTCATTGACAAATAAAACTATTGCTGTATTCAAAGGTTATCTGCAACAACCATCGCTGAGTGTCCGGAAAAGCACTATATTATTTCTATTTTGAACATGGGCAACTAGACCAGACCAATGTTTGTTCCATTGCATGTGTTTCCAGTCGGTGAGGCAGCGGCAGGGAAAGCCTCTCGCAGCCTGGCTCAGCACATCCCGGGGCAGGGAGGAGTGGAGGGCATGAAGGTGGCGGCCAGCGGCGTGGTGGGAGACCTGGCCCGAGCCCGGATCGCTCTGGACGAGAGAGGGCAGAGGCTGGGAGAGCTGGAGGAGAGGACAGCCCTGATGATGACCAGTGCTGAGTCCTTCTCCAAACACGCTCATGAGGTACTGGACACCAAAGCTGAGAGCGGAAATGTTCTTTTAGATTTTCAACATCAGCCGGAGATGGCAGCACGTACCAGTTTTGAATCATTTCTGTTCTTATTTAAACACAGAGACATGTGTCAGATCTATGGCTGATTTAATCCTATATTTATGAACTATTTGAGCAATTGACTAAACACATTTATTATTTTGATAAATGGATTAAGCGCCAAAGCAGCAGAACACTTTCTACGCAGCGACCTGGCTTTCCACAACTGTTTCCTGACATTTTACCTACATATTTTTATTTTTAAATATCTCTGTTTTTATTTTATTAGTCCTCAATCTCTTATAAAACGTTAGGGCGCCACCCTTTGTCCGTCTCACATTAATTTCTTAAACTAATAAACATAATAGCATTTCTGAATGTTGACTAAATTTGACTAAGACAATTTTTAAGCACAAAAGACAAGTTTTACTTTTAGATTTTGATTTGAAAGTGAAACTGTCTTTGTGATTTCTTGTGAATTCTGTCCGGCTGTTTCTTCATCACCATGTAATTATGTGGATGTGTATCTGCTCTTGTCAGTATTTTTAAAACGAGGATTTCTTCTCCACCTCTGATCAATGGCTTTGTTTCTTCCTGCTTTCAGATGATGCTCAAATACAAGGACAAGAAGTGGTACCAGTTGTAAGACGCAGGACGCTGCTGCCCTCGGACGGCGGGGGTCCGTGCTCCTTAAAAGACAGTCTGCTGCGGAGTGACCTTGTCTTTTACTACTTCTGGAATGGCCTTGCGCTACACTGTCTCATTGATCCAGGGGACAGGGACGCGTTTAGCTCCTTGTCTTGACATTTAGTCAGAGAACGAGGCCGCATCCGTACACTCAAGAAAAAGGCTGGAAAATGTACGAAAAGTCGGTGTCCTATGCGAGTGAATGGTGCGTGATCGAGGAGGTGTTTGGGTTTCTGGACCTCACTGTGTAGATACTCAAATCGTAACCATCAAGAAATGCATGAAATAAAATGGATGACTATTAAAAATATCCAACTGCCATATTAAAAGCAGCATGCTTCTTTAAACTGGAAATAGAAAATACAGAAGTTTTATTTAATAATGTAAGCCAACTACAGAAACTATGAAAACTTTATATTTTTTGAAATACTGACAAAAAACTATATATAAAAAGGGAAACATATACCCGCATTGCTATTAAGCCAAATCTTCTGTTCTGTTCCCTTTTTTTTTAACTCTTCTCATTTCTCGTTTCTTACTTATATTTTTCTTAGCTTCTATTACTTGAGAGTGCACATAGTTCGCTTTACAACATGCACTAAATGTTTTACTATGTTCTTATGAATGAGAGCTGCACACTGCAACCACAAATCAAATGTATTAACACTTGGCACAGGTTTCACGGTTAATTTCCAGTTTTGGCTGCTGCTAAATGAACATAAAATCACAATATGTAATGCATTTCCTAAGTACGAATCAAATAAATGGTGTGAAAAGGTCAGGATCGATCGACATTGTGTTAATATTTGCGAGGAAAGCGTCTAATCATGTGCCATACAAGAAAAGGGATGGATATAGCGGCGAGATTGCAGACTCGAAGTCATGGGTCGACCATAAAGGAGAAATATACCGAAAGGCAATCTTAGTTTTTATTTTTCTATGTATTACTGAGTTGTTGATAGTTTACGTCTTAGCTGCCTTGTGCACTGGAAATGTGCCGTTTTGGGTCGGATTTATGTGAATTTGTGTAGTAAAAAAACGTGCGGAAAGAGTGCCTCGAAATTGAACAGAACTCTTTCTCTGACAAAAACCAAAACCTTCAGATTTTGCTGTTTTTGGATTTTTTTTTCTGTATGCTACTTTTGAACAATATAGAAAAAATAGCTCCTCCTCTCCTCTTTGAACACAAGTGCTATCTAATTGATTGTCAACGTGAAGGACTACAATAGGATCTGGCGTCATCTGTTCAAAGTCCCATGTGACTTTTTGTGATATGGTTAAAAAAAAGAAGAAAATAACGTATTTTTTCAGTGCTATTACAGGTTGTGAGAAACTGATGTACATGTGTATGACATTCGTAACGATTTCAACACGGAGATGGTTTTGTTTTTCGTTCAATATTGTTCTTGATGACTATGAACTAATTCCCTCGTCAGTTTTATATTTGATGGTTCCGGCCTCTCAGCTGCAGAAGGCTCTTGTATGTTTCATGATACATGGGTCGTGTATCATGTCGTGATTGTGTTGTACATGTCGAGGTCACATGACAACTTTAAGTGGAGGAGGAGGACTCTTTGTACTTGTGTATCTGTCTGTATTTTGATCTAAAAAACAAAGGATTATTGACATCTCACACGTCAGGCCTTTATGCACATAATGTACCCGCAATGGCTCTCATGATGTGGAGGCAGTGGTTCTTAAATGGTGCCTATTTGTGGATTTATGGTTTTTACTTTTACAGGGACAGACTACAATAAATATTAGCCAAGAGGAGAGCTGCATTGTTCCAGGTGGTAGCAGCAGTGCTAATCTACAGCTGTAGTCCCTGGCAAGTAGATGGATACATGACCATATATTAGCAGACAGAAATTACAATATAATTTACCACACAAGTTTTATTAAAACGCCCCAGCCCCAGGAGTTTCAAAATCAACCTGCTTCTCGCTGAGGCCGACTTCAACTACAAACATCTATATGCTCTGTGTAATAGACAGACGGATCGGTGCAGTGAGTCAGGAAAGGCAAAGCTCTCGATTTTCGTCAATCTACATTCCCACGCTCATTATGGTCATAATGAGAAAAGAAACTGAGTTTTTTCTGCAGAGACAGGTGCTCCCTTGACAATCTCAGCCACAGCAGAAAGCTGAGAGGGGCAAATAAGAATGCATAAATGTTTGCCGAAAATAACATAATTTTTTATTTTTTGCAGCAAATTTTTGCAGCAAATAATTTTAACCCAAACAAAATTACAAAAACATACAGGAATCACAAAATGCTTTGCAATTATAAGTAAGTAAGTAATCTTCATTTATATACCGCCTTTCACAGACCTGAGTCTCAAAGCGGTTTACAATTGTTATTTTTTGGGCATTTGTCTCTCACTCAACACAGAGATGGGAGCGGGGTCGCCAGTACAGGAGGTGCATGCCAGACGTATTGTACATGTTTTTAGTGGTAGCGGAAACCGGAGAACCCAGAGGAAACCTACGCAGACACAGGGAGAACATGCAAACTCCACTCAGAAAGGCCCTGGTCCAACCGGGATTCGAACCCAGGACCTGAGAGGCAAGAGTGTTCTCACTCAGCCACCGTGCCGCCATTATTATGTTGATCATAAATAGATACATAGATAGATACTTTATTGATCCCGGGGAAGACCCAATGAATTGAAATGAAGAGATGCATTTTAAACAGATCATAAACTGAGGCCAGGGTATTACTTGATCTGGTTTAGTCCTGGTTTAGATCTAATTTGATCAGGTTCAGAAGATTTTGCTCAGGTATATCCTGGTTTAGACCTCACGAGTAGCTTTTTAGACTTGATTCAATACTGGTTTGAAAAAGGGTATTCATTTAGAAAGTCTCGTATAGTTTTACCTGATGTTCCACATCATCACATGCACTTTAGTATTCAACATTTTTATGTTGTATTTCCTGTATTCAAATGTTTTAACATATTTTAATGACATTTTTATTATTAGTTGTTGAGTCAAAGTCCAGTGTTTCAACTGGGATGTATCTAGTTAATTTAATCCAGACTAGTTTACTCCTGTTAATGCGTTATTTTAGTTAAACCTAACTCTACGCAGAGGAAACAGGTTGAGTTTGTTTAACATGATGTACTTATGTTTCAAACTCTCCTGGCAGGTAGACGGTACGTTGTTTAAGAACCACTGCTCTCAATTGAAAAAAATCAGTTGTTTGCCATTGTCATTTTCAGGTCTATCAAACTAAAAAGGGAATTTACTTTATTTTGAAATGTGTCTGAAACTGTAAGATTTGTGCTCTTTCAGTGGCAGAAAAAAACACTCAAAAAAAATTGTAACAAATTGCAAAATATTGTAAAAACAAAAAAAATATGAAAAAAAAGAAAAAAAAATTCCGACTTCTACTGACAGGGTGTTTTGTTAGTATGTTTTTGTTTTTTATATTAATTGTACAGTTCAAATCATAAGGGAAATAAAAAAACACAAGGATTCCGATCTTGTTGGGCTATTTTCTCTCTGTATGTTGTACCTGTTACTTGGTACTGTATGGTATTCTGGCTCTGTCTACTCAATGGACCGTAGTTCTTCACACCGTAGATAGTAAGAACCTTAAAAACTGGTTCTCTGGTTTTTCTCAATGATGGCAGCAAAGTTTGTCTTATTTCAATGGATTCTACCACTTTTTGTTCTTATTGATATTATACAAGTGTATTAGAACTTTAAAAAATAAATGAAAATATGTTGATGCAAAAGCAAACTGAAATAAACATTGATTGATGTACGCAGCTTGTGCCTCTTTTCTGTTAGGTTGATTTGGTTTCTTATGATGCTTCTACTATGGAGGTTACAGCCACAGAATCCAGAGAAGCCACTGACCAAAGCTGTATCAGGTATATTTGGGACCTTTTTTATACCTAAAGTTGGGATAATAAACATATTTTCTTTGTAAATCTATACATTATTTTACAATAGTAACCTTATACACGATAGGGCTGGGTGATCTGTGGAAAGAAAATAATCTGAATAGGCCCAACACACTATATCGACATATTCTTGTGACAGGCCCATTGACATTATCTGTTCATATGTTTCTCCATCAAGTCACTATTAACAAGTGTGGGGTTACTCAGTATGTTTCTATGTGTATGGCACGGTGGCCAAGTGGTTCGCAAATAATAGTTTTTCCTTCATCTCAATTCTCACCATGTGCATTAAAGTTGGAGACTTCAAAATGGGGCTGAAAGGGACTTGCTCTTATTTGGTGAGCAAACCTGTACATGGCCAATTGTTGCTTTTTTGGATGGATTTCAAGCAGTGTTTTATATTGAGTGGAAAAAAAGCCATATCACAAACTCCCATCTGGGGGCCCTAAGCAATATTTTCAAATGAATTTTATTATTTTTGTCACCCATGTATTTCGATTAACAAAGTCAATCACACTATCAAAAATAAATGTTCTGCAATTATTATTAATAAGACCTGCTTGAATCTATACCAGCTGTCTCATAACCCATATTCATATTTAATCAGATTAGATTATCATCAAATTATGTTATTTCGGTCATGCCCATGGAGTGTGAATTTATTTTTTTCAATGAACAAGCCATGAATGATTTCACTTCCTGTATTTTGTTCAATCAGCTCCTCATTCACAAACAGAACGTCCCCCCAGCCAATCAGATGGAGCGCTAAAGAAAGACTAACCAATCAGAACGCGGTATTCCACTTCCCAGTCCCGCCCCCGGGTCATTGAACAGATGTGCTCCCGTATCTATGACCCGTCCTAGAAAACGCGACCAGAAATGTAATATTACTCCTTTTAGACTTGAATTATCAGAACCAAACTCAGCGAATGGCAAATACACGTGTCATATCTAAGGACTGCTGTAATGGACTGACGCGGAGACCGGAAATGCAGTCTTGTTAGGGCACATTTGTCCTCCTGTGTGTAGTTGTGTCCGTAGAGAAGAGGGGAGCCAGGACTGGACCATGCTCCCGCGGCTGATGCTCCTGCTGTGGCTGCTGAAAGGTGAAATCCCCGGAGCTCATGGAGGATCTTCTCTGGACGCGGCCAGGAGTTTGGTGTGGGGTCCTGGGCTGGACCCAGAGGTGGTCCTGCCTGCCCGCTACTTCTTCATACAAGCGGTGGACGGCAAGGGGAGAAAGTAAGTAGTGTCTGGGAAATTATGGTCACTGGATATTTTTGATAATTTTTTTGTTTTTGTTTTTTTAATCTATGAACCAGTTTTTCTCTGTGTTCTTAATATAGAATGTCTTTTTTGTCTATTTCGTCTCCACGCTTTTTAGTTTTTTATAGTGGAACATAGATAATTTAATCAGTTTCTCCATATTGAGGGCTTAGGTAAAGATTGTATTCTTCTTTATTATGCTAAAGATAGAGATTGTATACTGCTTCTTTCTATCCTAGTTAGATATTTTTTATTTTATTTTATTTAGTATAGATTTATTTAGTCATTTATCTTGTGTGCTACTCATTCCTACTATTCTGTAGCTGGTGATGCTGCAACACTGAAATTTCCCTGCTGTGGAATGAGTGGGGAAAGGATCACTTAGTATTAAGAGGTGTTTTGCGTGAAAATCAGTTCTATACAAATTAAAGATTTCAAAGAGCTCTCACCATCAGAATTAAACTTTTATGGAATAAATCAATAAAATGACATTGACTTGACACAGAAGTTTGAGCATTGATCGGAGCCAGAGCGGCGTGTGTCCTTTTAAAGCCATCTAAAACATGTGCACGATGCTGGCCATAGAATGGACTATAATATGTAAGAATATTATGGTGGGTTTATACTAATCTAATCTCTGTCAAGTATATTTTATTTGACCAAAGAAGGCCCCAATTTTAACTTTAGGGTTTATCTTGAACAAAATTAGTTTTTTAATCTCAATGGGATTTTTCCCTGGTTAAATAAAGGTTAAATAAAAAGGATAAAAAAATATATGATTGACTTCACTAAAACTGGCTTGTTTACCCGATGGACCTATTGTTATTATTATTATTATTATTTTTGTGTTGTAGGTTCAAGATATATAATAGACAAAATTATTATGTGTTGTGATTTCCATGAGAAAATTACATTGTAAAATGATGTATAACATGCTTTGATAACCCCTGTTTATATCAATGTTTGCAAGTTTTGATCATTATTTGAAGATCCAGCAGTAGTAAATACTGGAAATGTTTGGTTATTATTAAGATTTGACAAGGTTTTGGAATATGTTCTTTGTCAACAACATACAACTCCTAAAAGTATGAATGTGGTCGCGATGCTGTGGTTGAAGTTTGATCATTTCAGTCGATTGAAGAGAAAATCTAGTTTTGGCTCTCCTGTTGAGTTTGCCACTTTACAAATGGTAACCCTAATGTCCTCTGGTTCCAAGTCCTCTATATTTTCCAATTTTCTTATTGGAAAGTATTTTAATTTTTTTATTTATTTATTTAAAGGGACAATGCATATTAATGAACATGTAAATGTAAATATGCCAGAATTAGCCAATGGCTACTTTCCATCTGTAGTCCCTGGCAGATCAAGAAAATACAAAGACTAATATACGACATTTAAAAGACAAAAGATCATCACACAAATCATCCACACAATTAAACTGGAGACATAAAACAAAGATACTGGTCAGTGGTTACATGTCTGATTCCCCTTCAGCCAACCTTTAAGTTTAGTTTTAAATACTATGAATGTAGTACAGTCTCGAATTTCTGCTGGGATGCTGTTCCATACCGTGGTCCCTTTCACTGACAGCACCTGTTGACTAAACGCTGTGCGTCTATAGGGAACCACACAGTCACCTCTGGTGGTGCCTCTGGTCACTTTACCACTTGTACTGGATATGAACTTAATGAATTCATTCAAGGATGGTGGAGAGAGTCCATGCAAAATCTTATAAACTGAACAAGCCATTTTAAATGTTCTAAAATTTTCAAAGTTTAGAATATTATATTTTTCAAGTATTAAGCAATGATGACCAGTTAGTAATGCAATATTCAATATGTGAAAAGATCATACAATGAAGAAACATTTTAGCTGCAGTTTCTGGCAGTAATGTTCGAATTTGTCTAAAATTACGAAGATTAAAATTTACAATTTTACACATATGCTTAACATGATTTTTAAAAGATAACGTTGAGTCTAAGATAACACCAAGATATTTAAACTTGTCCACAATCTGTAGCTCCTCACCTTTTATAAATACATTTGAGCTTATTCTTGCTGTTGGGCGTTTGGAGAAAAACATACACACAGTTTTCTTTGAATTCAGTAAAAGACAAGACTTACTGAGCCACTCATCAATGCAACACATTGCTGAAGTCAATTTTTTGGAGACTTCGGCATTAGATTTTGCATTGGTAAAAATGAAAGTATAATTTAGTTGTCCTCTGTCTTACTGGATTATAAAGAAGTCTTTGTATGGAGAAATAGAAATAACTGAAACAAAGGCATATGGACAGATGGTGGATGTGGATGGATGTATATTTTTTTTAGATTAGTTTTTAAATAATCTTTCTGTGTGTATCTTGAAATAGGTTCTTGAAAGATGCCCAAGGCCATGGTCCTTGGTTTATTTATTTATACAAAAAAATGCTATAGATTTGATGTTTTGACATATTTTGACCGCTCTACTCTGCAACTTGATTAAATTCCTGAATACCAAACAGTTCCTAATATGTAGAAAATAAATGTACAAATCTAAATCATCAGTGACTAGATTCAATAATGGTGCCAGAAAGACTGTATACTCTAGTTTGTACACACAATTCATTGCCACAACTATCACTGAAAACATATTTGTATAGTTTCCCACTCTATAGTAGACTCCTTATGCAGTTTTGCCGGGACAGTAACTTCAGTCCGGTCTGTATTTAGATCCCAGACATGAAAGCACTCGCCTCGGGCCACACACCGGGGACAACCTCATCGTCCTTTCTTTCTCCGTGTCTCTTCTTTATGAGAGGTATAATTTTCACACACGTCTTTACGTCATAACACAAAGCTTCGATTCTGCTTCCCATTCATTCACTAAACAATTTGTGCTCATATTGTTGTCGTTCTGAAACTGTAGAAATCGGTAGTAACTCGGGAGACGTGAGACCCACTCCAGTCGTGGTTAAGCAGAGATATTATCTCATTAGAAAACATACTGAGAGCTGATTGGTTGAGTGAGTGTGGTCCTCTTTTTTTTCACTGTTCTGGCTGAAAAATCTGGTCAGAAAGATTTGATGGAGTCCAAAAAAATACATTCATCTGAAAACTAGTGATAGAAGCAGTTTTGAGAGCAATAAGACAGATTTATTTCATACTTTTTTCATATTTTTTAAAGTTGTACAGGTTTTATGATTTCTCTCAGCTCTATTTATACCATTAAATATATTGTTATTATGATGTTTCCGACTCATACTACTTATTTCCGGCCATGTCACCACGCTCTAGTGTAGTGTAGCCTTTTCTAGTTTGCAAAACAGTAGAACATTTGCGGGCCGTACCTGCCTGTGAAAGCAAGATCCCGTGAGACTTCTGAAGCTGTGCATGGCAGGGTCTGGTTAGTTCTGTGATGGGAGACCTCTGGGAAAGCCACGTGCCACAGTGGGGCAGTTGTAAAGTGCCAAACTGCTGTTGTGGCACTTTATTTCATGCCCATGCTTTCATCCACAGCCTCACGTCGTCCCCCGGGGAGAAGGCCTTCAAGGTGAACATGGAGACCGATGCCGAGGCCTTCACCAGGATCTGGGTGCAGGTGCTGGATCGGCAGGACGGATCCTTCCTGGTGCGGTACCGGATGTACGCCTCCTACACAGACCTGCACATCCACATCCAGCACAAGGACAAGCCGGTCGGCAAGTCTCCCTACGTCCTCAAAGGTGAAGCGGATCAGTGTGGCAGTAGTTATATTTTTTATCTGTCTCCAAAGTTCATTTTGTTTGGAAAACCGGCCTGCTGGTGGTTGGCACACCAGGTGACACTGTGGTTATACAGGTGAAACTCTGATATTCACTGATATAAATATATAAACAACAGTTTATATAAATACGGATAGATGGATAGACATATATTGGAAGATTGATATTGAAGCATTCACAGCTAGCTAAGAAACATAGCAGCTACTTAGTGTATATTGTATATTTTGTGTGCTCTTACTACTTTCCTCTATGTGTCCTGCAACATTGATAAAAATATCTCTTGATTTAGTTTGAATATTTTGATTGTCAATGTTATCCAAATAAGACTAAATATATTTGCATCAGTAGCATTTCTTTTCTCCAAATTATTCATCAACAGAATCCCCTGAGAGCAGCTTTCTAACAGGAGGTGATGTGTGCAGGCCCGGTCTACCACGAGGCCTGTAACTGTCCGCAGCCCAGTGGAGCTGAGTGGGAGAAACGCATGAAGTGTCCCGACTCCTTTCCTCAGATCGACGAGGACCTGTCCGTCTTCAGGCACGTGGACCCTGACCTCATCGCCCGCGAGGTCCCGGCCCGGTTTGGACAGAGACAGAGCCTGTGTCACTACACCCTCAAGAACAACCAGGTCAGCTCACTACGTGGTTTGAGATGAGTGCAATTAAGACGACAGAGACAGAGAGAAAAGTATATGTCCTGATACCCCAAAAATATTTCACAAAAAAGACAGGAAGTGTGCAAACATGTTAAAGATTAAAAATGTAGTCTTTGGCTGACCTTGGTCTGTAAAATGCGCTGTATAAATAAATATTACTTACTCACTACATTTATCAACATTTATGGTCTCGGCCCCTTTTGGCTCTGTGTTTTAATCATTTTGTGTTTGAACTTTGATTCTCTGTGTTGGCAAATTCAACGTTTGTGTTAAGTCCTCCGAGGTAACTACTGCTGTGATTTAGGGCTTTACAAGAATACATTGAATTGGCATTGCCCAGTTTGACGTTGCACAGTAAAATCAAGCAAAACAAGTCGAGTCTATTACTAAACATCTTTTTCTTTCTTTACTTTTTTTGTTTTTTTTTCAGTTACTTGATTGGCCTTGTTTAACCCCCACACAGGTTAGAAGTACAGTCAGCAAAGCCTGAGGGCAGATGTACGGCAGTGGGTCATGTGATCAGGGTGGTTTGAAAGTTGATCCAGTCCCTGCCTGGTCCAAAGCCACGTTCACACGGAGCTACTGAAAACGATCACTTCCAGCCATTTATCACCTGTCAAAATGATAAAGAAATACATGCAGTGTTAAGCCAAGGCCTTGGTGCACTTTTTGTTGTCTTTTCCACACCGAACACACCTGATAAAAGATATTGTGACAGGACAATAGGCTGCATGTGTAACTAAACAGATTTGTGTTTTTTGTGTGTGAATGTAGGTCTATGTCAAAACGTTTGGTGAACATGTGGGATTTCGGATTTTCATGGACTCAATTCTTCTGTCACTGACCAGAAAGGTAAGATATGTTCAAAAACGTTTTACATTTCTATAGCTATGAGGACCAGCTTTTAATGCATGTGGAATAGATAACGGATACAACCAGATTTTGATTTAAATAAACATCTGGAATTATTTCAAGAGACTGCATCTAGTCTCACTAAACCCAAGGTTCCTCAAGCAATATTGCATCCCACAATATTGTGATTTATTCACATTTAATCACATATAATTGTTGTGTGTCAATGAACACAGGTACAACTTCCAGATATTGAGTTCTTTGTAAATCTTGGGGACTGGCCCTTGGAGAAGAGTAAGTCCACAGCCAAAATCCATCCCATCTTCTCCTGGTGCGGCTCCAACAACACCAGAGATATTGTGATGCCGACATACGACCTGACCGAGTCTGTGCTGGAGACCATGGGGAGGTATGACGCCATATACTCATGAATTATACTCTAACAACAAGAATCTCCATTGAATATCCATCATCATAACCATCAAGAGCATTCAGACTATGAAACACATACCATAGTGTGAGATTTCATAACACTTTGAAGCAACTTTTGTTAAAGTTAAACTCATCATTCTATCAATGTGCAGAAGCCTGTACTTTTCCACTTTATGTTTTGTCTATCTGAAGGCCAAGCTACATGGCACCGTGGAAGCTGCTGATTGGAGGTCTCCATGCCTCCGCTCTGTATAATACACTTGCATTCTCTTGTATCTGTGATCGTGTGCTTTGTTCGTGCTGTCTCTACCATCGACAATAAAACATGTCTTCTGTCTGAATTAAAGACGCGATCCCAGACTTGGTACATCTTCTTCAGGTGGTGGAAGGATGCGGGCCTTGTCTGTAACATCTAGAGAACAGAAGACTTTTTTTTTTTACACAAAAAGTGTTTTTTTTTTAAGCCAAAACTGAGAAACCTCAAGAGAAACCATGCATCTGGACCAGCACACATGGACAATCTGCACAGCCCCTGATTCCAGTCAGGCTGTGAGCTGCTGAGACATGGACAACACCATCGTCCTCTTTTGCATGGAACAATTGGATTACACAATTTGGACATAATTTGGAACAATCTGGATTTCTGAATTTGGACATAATTTGGACTGAATTGAATTGCTGAATCTGGACACTGAAGCTGAAACGTGTGATTGAAAGACACATCACAGAAGAATTCATGGCTCGACACAAATGCAGCCTGAAGAAACCAACAGGAGAAGTGGGAGAGACTGTTTTCAAAGCAATATCTGGAACCACCATCGACTGATGAAGTTTGGTATTTTACTGAAGATTGTTGACGAGTTTTATGAAAGATCTGAACATGTTTTGTTCAGTGGCAGTCCAACACCCCCCTTGGACTGCCACCTTAACGTGGTGGGGGAGTTTGAGCACTCGGATGATCCTGGGAGCTATGCTGTCTGGGGCTTCATGCCCCTGGTAGGGTCTCCCATGGCAGACAGGTCTCAAGTGACGAGTCAGACGAAGCGCAGTCCGAAGCCAACCATGGACAGCACGACAACAAAAACCGTGACGTCGCCCGGCATGGCGCAGCCGGGGCCCCACTCTGGAGCCAGGCCTGGGGTCGGGGCTCGCAAGCGAGCGCCTGGTGGCCGGGCCTTAGCCCACGGGGCCCGGCCGGGCTCAGCCCGAAGGGATGACGTGGGCAGTCCCTCCTGTGGGCTCACCACCTGCAGAGGGGTCCGTGGTGGCGAGGTGCAGAGAGGACTGGGCAGCAGTCGAAGGCGGAGACCTCGACGACCCAGTCCACACACCCAACATCTGGCTCTTGGGACGTGGAACGTCACCTCACTGGGGGGGAAGGAGCCCGAGCTTGTGGGGGAGGTTGAGCGATACCGACTAGAGATAGGCCTCACCGGCCTCACCTCCACACACAGCTTGGGCTCTGGAACCCAACTCCTTGAGAGGGGTTGGACGCTCCACTTTTCTGGTGTTTCCCGCGGGGAGAGGCGGCGAGCTGGGGTGGCCATACTCATTGCCCCCCATCTCAGCCGCCACGTGTTGGAGTTCTCCCCGGTGAATGAGAGGGTCGCGTCCCTCCGCCTCCGGGTGGGGGACAAGTCTCTCACTGTTGTGACGGCCTACGGGCCTAACGGTAGTGCAGAGTACCCGGCCTTCTTGGAGTCCTTGGGAGGGGTACTGGACAGTGCACCGCCCGGGGACTCCGTTATTCTCCTGGGGGACTTCAACGCCCATGTGGGAAATGCCAGTGACACTTGGAGAGGGGTGATCGGGAAGAGCGGCCCCCCTGATCTGAACCCGAGCGGTGTTCAGTTGTTGGACTTCTGTGCCAGTCACGGCCTGTCCATCACGAACACCATGTTCGAGCACAAGGGTGTCCATCAGTGCACGTGGCACCAGGACACCCTAGGCCGGAGGTCGATGATCGACTTTGTAGTCGTATCATCTGACCTTCGACCGCGTGTCTCGGACACTCGGGTGAAGAGAGGGGCGGAGCTGTCAACCGATCATCACCTGGTCGTGAGTTGGATCCGCTGGCAGGGCAGGAGGCCGGTCAGACCTGGCAGGCCCAAGCGTGTAGTGAGGGTTTGCTGGGAACGTCTCGCTGAGCCCCCTGTCAGACGGACTTTCAACTCACACCTCCGGGAGAGCTTCTCCCAGGTCCCGGCAGAGGAGGGGGACATCGAGTCCGAGTGGACCATGTTCTCTTCCTCTATCGCCAATGCGGCGGCTCGTAGCTGTGGTCGCAAGGTCTCTGGTGCTGGTCCCGGCGGCAATCCCCGAACCCGGTGGTGGACACCGGCAGTAAGGGATGCCGTCAGGCTGAAGAAGGAGTCCTATCGAGCAATGATGGTTCGTGGGACTCCTGAGGCAGCTGTCCAGTACCGGCAGGCCAAACGTGCCGCGGCCCGGGCTGTTGCAGAGGCAAAAACCCGGGACTGGGAGGAGTTCGGAGAGTCCATGGAGCATGACTATCGGTCGGCCTCGAAGAGGTTCTGGCAAACCGTCCGGCGCCTCAGGAGGGGGAAGCAGTTCTTTGCCAACACCGTGTATGGTGCGGGTGGAGGGCTGCTGACCTCGACTGGGGATATTGTCGGGCGGTGGAAGGAATACTTCGAGGTTCTCCTCAATCCCCCCGTCACGTCCCCCGTCCAGGAGGCAGAGGCTGAGGATGTTGGGGCGGATACTTCCATCTCCCTGGCCGAGGTCACCAAGGTGGTTGGCAGCCTCCATGGTGGCAAGGCGCCGGGAGTGGATGAGATCCGTCCTGACTATCTAAAGTCTCTGGATGTTGTAGGACTGTCTTGGCTGACACGTCTCTGCAACATCGCGTGGGCGATCGGGGGCGGTGCCAATGGAGTGGCAGACCGGGGTGGTGGTCCCTCTCTACAAGAAGGGGGACCGGAGGGTGTGTTCCAATTATCGTGGGATCACACTCCTCAGCCTCCCCGGTAAGGTCTACTCCAAGGTACTGGAGAGGAGGCTTCGTCCGATGGTCGAATCTCGGATTCAGGAGGAGCAGTGTGGTTTTCGTCCCGGTCGCGGAACACTGGACCAGCTCTATACTCTCCATCGGATACTCGAGGGTTCATGGGAGTTCGCCCAACCTGTCCACATGTGCTTTGTGGATTTGGAGAAGGCGTTCGACCGCGTTCCCCGGGGTGTCCTTTGGGGGGTCCTCCGGGAGTACGGGGTCCGGGGTCCTCTGCTGAGGGCTGTTCGGTCCCTGTATGACCGGAGCCAGAGCTGTGTTCGCATTGCTGGCAGTAAGTCAGACCTGTTCCCGGTGCATGTTGGCCTCCGCCAAGGCTGCCCTTTGTCACCGGTTCTGTTCACTGTATTTATGGACAGAATCTCTAGGCGCAGCCAGGGGCCGGAGGGGGTCCGGTTCGGGAACCACAGGATTTCATCTCTACTTTTTGCGGATGATGTCGTCCTGCTGGCTCCAACGAACCAGGACCTGCAACATGCACTGGGACGGTTTGCAGCCGAGTGTGAAGCGGCTGGGATGAGAATCAGCACCTCCAAATCCGAGGCCATGGTGCTTGACCGGAAAAAGGTGCCTTGCCCTCTCCAGGTGGGTGGAGAGGTCCTTCCTCAAGTGGAGGAGTTCAAGTATCTCGGGGTCTTGTTCACGAGTGAGGGGAGGATGGAGCGTGAGATTGACAGGCGGATCGGTGCAGCGTGCGCAGTGATGCGGTCTCTGTATCGGACCGTTGTGGTAAAGAGGGAGCTGAGCCGAAAGGCAAAGCTCTCAATTTACCGGTCAATCTTCGTTCCCTCCCTCACCTATGGTCATGAGCTGTGGGTAATGACCGAAAGAACGAGATCGCGGATACAAGCGGTCGAAATGAGCTTCCTCCGCAGAGTGGCTGGGCGCTCCCTTAGAGATAGGGTGAGGAGCTCGGTCACACGGGAGGAGCTCGGAGTAGAGCCGCTGCTTCTCCACGTCGAGAGGAACCAGTTGAGGTGGCTCGGGCATCTGTTCAGGATGCCTCCTGGACGCCTTCCTGGGGAGGTGTTCCGGGCACGTCCCACCGGGAGGAGGCCCCGGGGAAGACCCAGGACACGCTGGAGAGACTATGTCTCTCAGCTGGCCTGGGAACGCCTAGGGGTCCCCCCGGACGAGCTTGAGGAGGTGTGTGTGGATAGGGAAGTCTGGGCGTCTCTGCTTAGACTGCTGCCCCCGCGACCCGGCAACGGATAAAGCGGAAGAAAATGGATGGATGGATGAACATGTTTTATGAGTTTTTGAAGTATTCCGAGTTCTGAGTTTTTTGAAGTACCGAGTGAAGTACCGAGTTTATGAATTTTTGAAGTATTGAGTTATGATGTTATGTTGCTGTTTATCGATCCTGATGGTCACACGTGAATGTATGACCAGAGGGGGGAATGTGAGATTTCATAACACTTTGAAGCAACTTTTGTTAAAGTTAAACTCATCATTCTATCAATGTGCAGAAGCCTGTACTTTTCCACTTTATGTTTTGTCTATCTGAAGGCCAAGCTACATGGCACCGTGGAAGCTGCTGATTGGAGGTCTCCATGCCTCCGCTCTGTATAATACACTTGCATTCTCTTGTATCTGTGATCGTGTGCTTTGTTCGTGCTGTCTCTACCATCGACAATAAAACATGTCTTCTGTCTGAATTAAAGACGCGATCCCAGACTTTGTCATCTTCTTCAATAGTCTTCATCACAAAGAGAGTGGAAGTCTTTATGTTCAAATGAATACATTTGATGTCTCAGATTTTCATCAAGTCAATTCTTTATATAGAAGCCAACACTATTAATTAAATACAAAATAAAACATCTACTAGAAAAAGTTTCCAGTCCGAGCGGCTGTTTTTGAAACTTTTTCTTCAGACCAGACTCATGGTATTATTCACTTGTACACGTTGTTGTAAACTACTACTGTAGCCACAGCTGCCCTGGGGGTAGACTGACAGAAGCAAGGCAACCAGTTTGTGTCATCGGCTCTTCTGATCCTCACACAGATACTGTATGTGTGTTTAAGGACACTTTACAGCCGCCCCACTGTAGCACCTGGTGTTGATTAATAGTCTGTTGTGTCTCATAGAGTGAGTCTGGACATGATGTCGGTGCAGGCAAACACCGGGCCCCCGTGGCCCCAGAAGAACAGCACAGCGTTCTGGAGGGGCCGCGACAGTCGGCAGGAGCGACTGGAACTGGTGAAGCTGTCCAGAGCTCATCCAGATGTGATCGACGCCGCCTTCACCAACTTCTTCTTCTTCAAACACAACGAGAGCCTCTACGGGCCGCTGGTCAAACACGTCTCCTTCTTTGACTTTTTCAAGGTCAGTGGAGCACGCTGCAGGTTAAAGGCAGCGTTTTAGAACAACTTTTTGGGTCAAACTTCGGCCGGGCAATGACATTAATAATTCAATTTTTGATATTTGTTAATGTGAAAAGAAATCAGAATAATGTAATGTACTAGTTTGTTGTTGGGTTCCACCTCAGATCAATTGTTTTTAGGAAGAGGCTCAATGTAGACTTTATTTGAGATTGGATCTGAAACTCAAACATTTTAAGAATATTTCTATAAATCAGTGGCCTTCAGTGACTATCATTTAAATATATTCCTAATCATCCAATGGTGCAATAAAATGGACCTTTATCTGTTTTGCTATCGCTCAGCCTCATGTCAAACTTCTCAGACTGAAACCCAATGTTTGAACATAAAGATTGAATGACTGTCCATGCTGCTACAACACTGCCAACCAATCCAATCCAATTTATTTATATAGCACATTTTGTAAAACAAGTTTCCCCAAGTGCTGCTCAGAGATAATTTAGTAATCTTTATTTATATAGCGCCTTTCACAGACCAGAGTCACAAAACGCTGCCAGACCTACAGTATTTTGCTTGTTATTAGTGGTAGGGGAAACCTACACTTACATGGGGAGAACATGCAAACTCCACTCATAAAGGCCATATACCCAAATGTATAGTATATATATATATAGGGATCTATACTTTTTCAGGCTAAGGATGATAAAAGTAGAATATTTGAATATTCAGGTTTGTCAGCTTTATATGTTTAAAAGAATAGTGTATGTAAAACAAGGTTACGTATATAACCATGGTTCTATGAATCACGGATGACCGCCAGAGGGCGATGCATAGCACTGAATATGCGCAAAGGCAACATTCAGTGCTAGGCATCGCCCTCTGGCGGTCAGGAGGGATGAAATAGAACATGTATGGAGTAAAAACAATAACACTCCTCTGTTCTCCCAGTACAAATATCAGATCAACATGGACGGCACGGTGGCGGCGTATCGGCTGCCGTACCTGTTGGCGGGGGACAGTTTAGTGTTGAAGCAGGACTCTGGATACTACGAGCACTTCTACAGCCAGCTCCAGCCCTGGATCCACTACGTCCCCATCAGAGCAGACCTGAGCGACCTCCTGGAGAAGATCCAGTGGGCCAAAAACCACGATGACCAGGTCTGTTCTACTGACCCTCTCATTTCAAGTTCAAACTACAGAATAATCCCATGTGTTTGCTACGGTGATAATGCATTGAAGATAATGATGAAACACTACTGAACAAAGTGCTTTGTAGTAGTTGCTTTGAATGTTTTATTGTATCGTCTTTGTAACGATAGCTAGTACATTTCCTCTTTAGAATGAGGAGAAAATACAAAGTGTGCTTTCAATAAAACAAACAATACTTGTTCTATAAGCAAATATTATTTAAGAGAACTATACAAAGATTAAGATACTGTTGTCCTTGATTTCAGCCATTTTGAATCAAGGACAACAGTTGGCTATTGTTTACCTCTTTCATTAAAAGTTTGATGGTTGGAGTCCCAGCAGGGAAAGGTATATGTGAGAATAATTAGAAGTAAAAATATATATATATATGTATTTTTTTTAATGATCATATTTTGATCATATGTTGATCTGTACACCATTTAAGCAGTGGTAATCATAGTCTTAAAAATCAGATTGGTTGCTGTGGTGTATGAAATATTTATATAGTTGATTTGATTTAAATACTGTCTTTTGAGCCATACAAAAATATAACATTTTGCGCCATACAGAAAGCACTGTACCCACACACACACGGGCAACAAAAGAATGAAGAACAAAACAAAACTAAGGTACAGGGAGAATCTGTACAACACATATTATCATTAAAAAGTCGACCATATGAAAAACAATCATTATCTTTGCACTTTGAAACACTTTACGTCTCTTTGATTGTAAATATAGTTTTGCTGTGTTTCAGTGAATGATTAAATGTTATGACCATAAAACAACTTTGTCTTCTTTGGTTCAGGCTCGAAGCATCGCACAGAGAGGGCAGCAGTTTGCCCGCAGTCACCTCATGGGAGACCAGATATTTTGTTACTACTATAAACTGTTCCAGGTGAAGGTTTTAGGATTTACAACCGTGGATTGAAAGTATGGATGAGATCGTTTAAAACCTTTCTTCTCTTGTGGGACAGAAATATGCCGCACTTCAGATTACGGAGCCAAAAGTGCGTGAAGGTATGGAGCTAGTGGAGCATCCCACTGACGACCTGTTCCCCTGTGACTGTCAGAGGACCAAGCCAAACACAGAGGTAAGGATAGTATTTTAGATAAAGTAGGGTTATTGATTAAAACAACTATTTGTTCAACAATCTCAGTTATTGATGTTGTAAATGTAGGAAATCTTATGCTACTATTAAGAACATATAACTCCATTTCTTTATTAACTTTGATTGTGTACATTTTTTTTTTACAGTATCTGGCTCCCTCTAGTGTTTATCCATTGACATTGTTTCTTTGTAAAAAACAAAAAAACATCTTTTGTAATGATTTTAGTTTTAATGTAATTATTTTTATTTTTTTCAGGCTAAGGATGAACTGTGATGGACCTGATACAACTCAAGAATGATGCTTTGCTGATGCCAAAAATGTACCCAAAGTTGACTTCACTTTTGTAAATATTTAATCATGTCGGATTTTTACATTAAAATATTTTCTATCATTTGTGTCTAGAGTGTTTGATATTGCCTAAATGTGGTACGCCTCAAAGCTGGCCTTCAAAACAAGATTTTAACAATGTCCAATTCTTCTACATGGGCCATTGAATTTGCAGAGGAAGCTCATGTGGAATGCTTGTATTCACAATCTCGCAATTATTATTAATCTTTATTTCAGACTCAAGATAAAATTGGTCCATACAAAAAATAAAAAGATAAACAATAAAAGGACAATGCATTCAAATATATAGTATCATTTCCAGCAGATTTAAATATGAAAGTGACAATCTTGTCGTTTCGGTCATTACCCAAAGCTCATGACCATAGGTGAGGGTGGGAACGTAGATTGATCGACTTTTGACACTGCTCCCTCTCATAGCAACAGTCAGATACCGCGACCGCCTCACTGCACACGCTGCACACACTGCACACGCTGCACCAATCGTAGTAGGTATGTTGTAGGCATAGACCATGGGTGTCAAAGTCAAGGACAAATGAATTATCTTGGCCCCCAGGATAATATTTGACTAGGATTAGAAGCGGCCGCACAGAGCCATGAGAAAATATTGGATTATTATCATTAAATTTAAATTTAAATTAAATTAGACTATTTAGAACTGTCAATCATGCTCGTGTGCTGTGGGACGCTAGAGCTAAACCAAGCGGCTTACTAGGCGGACATCTAAACATCAGAAGCGCTATACCAAAGAGCGACCAACTGCAACATCTTCTGTACCAATCGAATCTGGATTTCTTGTGTCTTTCGGAATCATGGACTCACGAGAATTCTCCCATTGATGTATTAAACGTAAATGGATATAACATGTTTAGACGGGACAGAACTGAAGGACGCGGAGGGGGCGTGTTGTTCTATGTTAATGAGAACATTAAATGTGAGCAAATCAACTGGAAAAATGACCCTGGTCTTGAATGTATTGGTCTAAAAGTTACTCTGGCTGACCAAATGTCTTTTATCTTGCTGGGACTATATAGACCCCCAAATGCAAAACATATTTTTTATGACAAGTTGAACACATTGATAAAGCAATGTGATATACATAATGAAATAATATTAATAGGAGATTTTAACATTAATTGGAATGATAAAGTAAAAAGGAAAGAATTAAAAAACATTTCCTGTAAATATGATCTTAACCAAATCATTGAGGGACCAACCAGAATCACCAATACATCTGAAACACTCATTGACCTAATTCTTACTAATAGGCCGGATCGGATCAAGAAGAGCTACAATTTAACAACTGGATTATCAGATCATAACATGATACTGTTTAAAAGGAAAGTTAAAACTAAAATAAATGCATTGTCTAATATGAAACGAGAACAGCTAAAAATTCCTAAAAAACAGTTACCTTTGCTTGAACAAACAATTAGGGAAACTGACTGGGCACAGTATGTTCAGGAAGATAGTCTAGAAAGTAGCTGCAGTATCTTTATGAATCGACTTAAAACAATTATAAATGGCTTCAGGAAGAAAATCACATGCAAACGAGGAAAGGGAAATAATCTGCCCTGGATAAATGGAGATATTTGGACTCTTATGAAACAAAGGGATCATGCTCTCAAAATGGCTCTTAAAAGTAAGAAAGATAATGATAGGCGATTGTTTACGTCTCTAAGAAATAAAGTCACAAAACTGATAAGAAATACAAAAGCTTCCTTTTTCATCAATGTTATAAATAATTCAAAGGGGAATGCAAAGGAAATATGGCAGAATTTAAACAAATTAACAGGAAAAAATGCTAAAGAAAATAAACCAATAAAATTGAAAATAGAGGAAACTGTCTATGAGGATGCAAGTGTAGTTGCCAATGCTCTTAATAATCATTTTGTCGCATCCATACAAAAATTGACAACTCATAACCAATCTAATTTTAAAGTCGAACCTATAAAAATTGATGCTCCCGTATTGACATTCACAGAAGTAACTCAGTCAAAGATAGAAACAATCATCTCATCTATTAAGTCCTCAAGGGCAAAGGATATCTATGATATTGATACCTTGTTTTTAAAATCAAATAAGGTAACATTAATCCCATCCTTATGTAAATTAATAAACTGGTCAATCACTGAAGGATTATTTCCCACTGCCTGGAAAACCGCTGTGATCACACCCATCTTTAAATCAGGGGATCACACAAATATAAACAATTATAGACCAATAAGCATTCTCCCGACATTATCAAAAGTATTGGAAAAATGTGTCTCAGAGCAAATCATTTCTCATTTAAATCATTCACCATTTAAGTTGCATCAAATGCAATTTGGATTTCGTAAATTTCATTCTACCGATACTGCAAACATTTATCTTACAGAGAATATCAAATCAAAATTGGATAGAGGGGGTATAGTTGGGGCCATCTACCTCGACTTAAGAAAAGCCTTTGATACTGTCAACTCAGACATATTAATTGCTAAATTATCTAAATTTAACTTTTCACCTAAGGTGCTACAATGGGTGGCATCATACTTAAAAGACAGGAAACAGTGCGTCAGGGTTAATAACAAAACATCTGAAGTAATGTATAACTCTATAGGTGTGCCCCAGGGCTCAACCCTTGGCCCTTTACTCTTCAGTTTATTTATCAATGATTTACCTGATGTATGTTCTGAAGCATCATGTCAGTTATATGCTGACGACACCATCATTTATGTTCACGCAAAAACGAAACAGCTGGCGGCAGAGAAGCTGTCATCTGTAATGGTGTCAGTCTGTGACTGGTTAAAAAATTCAAAATTACACTTAAATACTGATAAAACTATGTGTATGTTCTTCTCTAAGTCGGCAACTAAAGAGAGCGATCCAATAGTTTTGGTGAATGGGCAAGCACTACAAGTGGTGCAAGAGTACAAGTATTTAGGTGTCACCATGGATTCTCAATTATCATTTAAAAAACATGTTAAGAAATTGAGGAACAAAATTAAATTCAATTTAGTGAATTTTAAACACATTAGAAATAACTTAACAACTGATGTTTCAAAATTATACCTAAACGCCACAATTCTCTCGCATATTAATTACTGTATGACGAGTTGGTCTCAGGCCAACAAGACTACACTGTTGCCCATAGAAAGACTTTATAAGCAGACAGTAAAAACATTAGACAAAAAGAATAATTCATATCACCACTGTAAAGTTTTTACCAAACATAATTTCTTAAAGTGGGATCAGTTGATAATGTACTCTGATGTAATTATGGTCTATAAAACCCTAAATGGACTTGCACCGCCTCCATTACAGGAGTTTATACAGCTGAATGTAAATACAAACACGCGCTCATCAAGCAGAGGAGACTGTAGAATCCCATTTAGAAAGACTTCATTTGGACAATCTGCCTACTCAGTACGCGCAGCACATTCCTGGAACTTGATTCCAACAGAATTGAGGAACCTGACCTCATTTCACATTTTTAGGAACTCTGTGAAGAAGTGGCTTTTGGACAATCAGACATGTGAACACAACATGAACTAAAGTCACCAAACACTGATACATGTCTTGCTGTGGAGGATTTTGGTGTTGTGTATATTGTCCCTTTCTGAATTTTTAGTTAAACAAATTCTTATATATTCCTTGCATTTTTAACTATATGTTGTATTCTTCTTTCACTGTCTTTTTATGTCTCTGTGATGGTGTTTCTGCTGTATGTTTGTGCCTGTTGTATGTCCTATACTACCTATCTTGACATCAACCTGCTATGGGACTACGGATGAAAATTAGCCTATATGGCTAACTCCGGCGCATTTACATGTTGAAAAAACACATGTTGATTAATGTGCACTGTCCCAATTCAAATAAAGAATTTAATTTAATTAAAAATAAAGTATGGTACACTCGTGGATCTAAGTATTTTAATAAACATTCAACCGGCCCTCGGCTTGTAGCAATTTTGTGTTTTGGCCTTTTTTGACTTTGATCTTCTTTGCATAGACCGTAAATATTAGTAGTAGGGTATGTTCATGTCCAGGAGGCGGCAGTCACGAGCGCATTGTTGACGGAAGTATGAATGGAGAGCATGGGCGCGCGCTCTTTACTGAGGTAAAAGTTGTTATTATAGATCCGTGTGTAATAAATAATGTTATAGATCCACCCAGAGGTAATTCGACATTCCCTTAAAGGTGGTGACTCACGAGTAGTCGATGGAAAATAGTGAACTCTGAACACTGCCGCTTTAAAACAACTTCTACTTCTATGAATTTGTCCTAATGAACACAGCTGACAAATAAATAAATCCTTGCTACTCGTTTTTGTCATAGAGAGATCTATAGTTTCTCTCCAAGAATAGTTAATTTCTTGCACTGTGATTGTTTATGATATTAATGCCTTGTGTGATTGGTTCAATCTTGTTTTGTTCAACATTTTGAGTTGTATAAAAATACGTTTTTTTATTTTCATTATCACAGTCTCATTGATAAGCATAGTTTTATTTTTTAACTTAGGTTTATGAAATACATATTTTTCAGAATTTACTGAATTGTCTTGTTTGTTTTTGTATCTATTGAAGCTGTCACAATGTATTAGTAGTTTATATTAAACAGGTCAAATGTTCACAGGAAACACTCCAGATCCCATTTGGGACAAAGCAGCTGTGTGCGGTGCTGTGTTCCCCCAGTGTGCCCCCCGTGGAGGCTACAGCAGGGCTCCTTCTCACTCATGGAGCCGGAGGAGACATGAACTTCACTCAACTGGTGTCTCTGGCTCACGCTGTAGCTGCAAACGGCTTCCTCTGTCTGAGATTCACATGCAAAGGCCTCAACCTGGTGTATAGAGGGAAGGCCTATCGAGCTGTGTGGGTAGGGAAAGAAAATACATTCATTTAGGTTTTGTATTGATTGTATTGTTTTTGATGATTGATTTGACTGTGAAAA